AGCTACTATATTTGGTCTGGAGTAAATTTTAGAAGTAAAAACAGTCGCGAGATAAGATGCTTGGTATTTATCACTAGACAAACGAACAACGATTTTACATCAAGGCTAGCTAAGAATGAGTTTAGGATGAAAGTGAAAAAGCAACGGGTTCTAACAATTAACGGAAAATATAAAAGTAAAACTATGAATAATGTTTCCTTCTAGTTCACACTTTATCTAAATTAAAAGTACGCCTTAGCCACCTTTGTGACAAGAAACAATCTTTCGATGATTGGAGGTAGTAGTAATAGCTTTGTCATATGATGGAAGTTATTGCTAGATAAATTTTACTTTTAAATTTGAGCCTGTAAGAAGCAGAATCTTTTTACTGCAGTGTACCAGCAGCCACAGAGGTAAATGACCAAATTCCAAAGCATTCAAAAATGGTAGAGAAAGAAATTTCGTTAAATGACACTCTTAAGACTAGATTCACCAAGAAGGATCGAAAACAGCTGTATTTTTGGCTGTGGTTTACGAGAAAATCCGTTAAGGTACGTTCGAGTTCTGAGTTAAGTTTTAATGAAGAAAGGTGTTAATGAGAGGCAGTTACTACCAGGGACAGAAGGCTGCATAAAAGACTTGTGAATCATTTTAAGTTTTGGATGTTTACCGTGATCGGGAACTAATCAAAAACTTGTTTACCAGTTTTATTATTCGCAACTAAGTGATATAAGAGTTATATAAACACAATAGGAGCAAATTAACTTTCCCGTGAATGTATGCAGGACTTAAATGTCTTGCAGCTGCCACTTGTAAACGTGCATTAACATCTGATTTTAAATTGCCAGTCAAATCTGAAAAAAGAAAAAAAAATTGGAACAAGTAACCACAAGTTATTGTTATTTTCACTGGTTTCTGCTCTTTTCAAGCTGTGGAATATGAAGTTACCATTCATTCCGTTCACCAGGCCTTTCCTGAGTGAGAGATTGAGATTTCGTCAGTCCTTTCACCCCGGCATCCGGAGTTGATACAGTGAGTTGCCAAGGTGCCATTTATCTTCTCAACATTTATTCACTTAGAGTCTTTAAAATGGCATCCTTGTACAAAAAATGAGAGTTCTGCAAACTTCCTAATTAAAACTTGATGTCCGAAAAATGATGGATATTCACAGTTTTCCGAGGCCCTTCCGTCATTTATTTGAGCCAACAGGCATTAATTCTCATTAAAGCTTTTCTGCCAAATCCGATGAGAAATGGTCCCGCACGTTGAAAAAAAAAAACTTCCATTTAGTGAATGAAATTGTTAACCTGACCTGTTGTTATGTATGGCTATAGAGCAGAAGATTTGACAGCAATAATCTTCTTAAGTGCAATGTCCCTAAATGGGGCAACATAAACAATTCAAATTTGACATTTTTTTTTCCCTTGAACTTCGTTTTAAACTTCAGTCTCAAGTCCATGAATGTATCCCCAAAACAAGGGATACAAAGATCTGTTCCAATTAAACTGAATTTAATCAGCCTTTCGACTCCTTAGGATGAATACTAAACACAAAGTGTTTTCAGTTAACGTGGAGCTTGGATTGAAGGGATGTGACATTGATTTGTTTTATATGAAACGTTTAAAGAAAAACGGAGGAAAAAATAATTTGGACAGAAAAATCTTGTCTACGTGAAACGTTTGTTCAATCGGTGGATGGAGTCATGCGTACAAGAAAAATGAAACTGTGAGCAAAATTTAAACTCCCAACTCCGAGTCGTGTGACAAGAAAGTTTTTTTGAAGTGCATCTATAATACCGGGGTTGTAAATGCTACCTAGAATTTTAGTCTACACTAAAAAATATGTGAAATCAACGCTGAGTTCGGTGATCGGTCCCCAAAGGCCGCTTTGCGAACAGTATTTTTAACGTGGTGTTCGATCACGACAGCAGATCTGGTGAGACCTGGTGAACAGAACTCAAAATTAACCTTTTTTGAACATCATCATACTTGTTCAAGATGTAGTTTGAAAGCTAAAACCCCCTATTGAAGAACTTATTTAAATCAAGGAGCTAACATATTCCTTAGCATGACAATACATTGTGTAAGAACTGCTGTTGAGTCTCTCCTTAACTACCGTCTTGGCTCGGACCAGAAAAGGCCGTTCTCAGTACAAAGGCGTGCTAAGCTACAAATGTTTTCTTTTTCACAGGGCTGAGTGTATTAACCAAGAAGTAAAGTGTTTATCACAGCCGGTAAATTCATAGGGCGATCAAAACGTATGAGCACAAAATAAACAAACGTTAATTTAAAAGTAAACTATTCTGGCAAAAATAATTAAGTTTCAATGTGCACATGAGTTTAAACAACGTCCTTTTTTCTCATCATCCAGACATTTCAGTTTCTTCTAAACGAAATAAATCTGCCGAGCGTGGACGGGCATGCTGTTAGCGAGTTGTTGTTCATTTTGCCTCACCATAGGTCAGTTGTTGATAAACTGCCATAAACGCACAGGTAATACAAAGCTGTGGCCATTAGTCGAAGCTCGACCTACTAATAATGGGTCGGTGATATACCTGAGCAGAAAGAGGAGAGGAAGAAGTTAATTTTAGGAGACATATTTACAAGGTACTAGCAGTTCATATTTGTAGAGAAAGTTTTTAGTGTGTATCTACCTCAAAAAATCTTCAGTTTAATTCATCGGCGTTCTAACGTGTTCTCTCCATAAATGTTGGCAAATCGTGTACTACACCATCCTCGGTTCTCAACCATAAAGACGGGTGATTAAAGCTCAAAATAGGCTGGGACGAGAGTCAGGCCCAAGCCTAACTCCTCCATATCGACGCCAGATAAATTCTTCCAATTAATTTCTTTCATGAACTAAACGAGCCGAAACGAATGCAAATTGAAAGGGATGTAGTCCAGTTTTCAAAGAGTCTTTCATCACAATATTCTAAGCAGTTTTATAATAATCGAGGTAAACCAACCAACCAACTCAGTCCGTAATATCCTAAACATGTTTTGTTGAATCAGCTTCCTTTTCAAGACAACTCGTTTTTTTACGATTTCCATCTACCAACATTGAAAAGAAGGGAGGGGGGAGGGTTTGTTTTACCGGCTAAATTGCCATTAGGGTTGTCTTTCGCTACATCGCTATGGCCAAGTGCTAACGCTCGAAACGTCATCTTTTAAAACGTTTTACGGTGGCCAATTTACGCCTGTATCAACTCAGTTGATAATACTAAACTACCTTGTTATACTCTTCCACCGACGCAGCATCACAGTTTTTTTAGAAACTTACCCCCTTTTTTCACTACAAAAGAAAGGTATAAATGATGTCGAAGTCGCTTATTTGACCAAATTTTATGATCATCGTTACACTACATTTGTATTGTGCACTCGGTAAAGCGTAATCTCCTACTCAGATCCTGCCATGTAACTGTAGCTGTAACGAGACTGGGTAATCTCGATGTAGACCCTAAGATTGATTTTTTGTCAACCTGTTCCACCAACAGATTGTTCATTCAAACCAAAAGCAAGTTAGCGGATCTTCTACGTAATACAATTAATATGACCACGCGTTTTGTTGAAGATCAAAGTTGGCTCATTAGTTCACACACTCACTTGTAATCTTGTGCCATTGAGAAAACATTTAAAAGGTTCTTGATTAAATTTCCAATAACATGTCATTCTGTATCTTCGGCACTGTAATTATAAGACTGTGATATCAAGATTCATTTCCAAATAATTCGAGGAGAAAATAACTATTCAATGCTAAGAAAGAAGAAAATAATCAGAAAAAGACTGTCTCATCTCTAATCTTACTTGTTCGAAACCGAATGAATTATTCCTTACTACAGTAGTTACGGCGTCTCGACAAGAAAAATTTCAGCTGGCCATGCAAGCAGAAAGTGCCTCGGAAGCGATCACGATGAAATATCTCAAGCAGGCGGAACGGTACCGGCGAGAATGCGAGAAAATTAGGAGGGGAAGAGATAACAAGACTTTTAATGTTGAAAAAATGTATGTAATTATACATAAATAACCAGATAGTTCCAATGAAAATATAGTGAAATATGAACCAATCCATGAGAATGTGATTTTTACATTAAAATTTCTTATCTTGAAAGTTTATCATCTTGATCATAGAAACTACAAAATGAAACAGCCTCCATTTTTGACACTTTGCTGGAATCATACAACGTTAAAATCAAAGACGAGCGGTAAAGATTTTCTCACAAGCGTGCATGCGTAAGGGGAAATCCTTTTTCCAATGTGGAGAAATATTTCAGAACAGATTTTCTAATATTGATAGGAACAGGCTAATCAACTTTTTCCTTAATTAAAGTTCAACCATGTAATGATCATTTTAATCATTACCAATACTATTATTATGATTAATGTAATTATCAAAGGAGGCTCCATGCAGACAGTATTCTTCCTTCACAGTAAATGATTGTTATGAATTAAATTTAAGAAATGTCTTTTTGTGAAATCGGATCGCGGATTACAGATCCCACTCTATCCTCTGATATTTACATTTTCCATCAAAGCCACCTTTTCAAATTAAGCATTTATGAAGAAAGCCAATCATGTTTTACCAGCCATGAGCCTTGGGTTTTAAGGAAGTAATTATATGTTTTCGCTCTTTGTGATTTTGTAACACTCAACATGACGATTGATAATCCTTTTATAGTTTTGGGGTCAACTGAGGCTATTCGGATGTAAAGTCAATGATTATGCACTTTGATGACTGATTCCACTCGGATGCAATCTTTTCCTTGCATGCAATGTCTATAAGCTTCCTTTGTTTATAACCAGCTTTCCTATATTGAAAAGTATTGTCTCCTTCTCTATAGAGCTCTTGGAAATCCCCTAATGGGACAAGACCAAGTTTAAATCTTTCAAGAGTTACTTACCAGCTCCTCAATCGGACGAAGAGTTTATTTGTTTTACCACAATAGCCTCCTTTGCTTTTGTTCGATTTTTACTCATAAATAAGCGGCTTGGATCCATCAACAGAACCAGCACAAGTCACTTAAAGTAGATTTTTGCAAGAATTATCGAACGGAAAACCAGGAGCTGTACAAGAAGGTGATCATGAAGAAATATTCGGCAATTTTCCTTCTCGTAGCCTTAGTCTGCCTCGTAACTAACATACCGGCAGCTCAGGGATTTTCTTACAGCAGACAAGCGTGGAAAAGAGTCTTAGAGGTTTGAACGAACTCTTTCAGTATCATCTTTCAGCTGTGAAAAAAAATATTCTTGTATATGAATCAGTGGTATCGAGGTAACGAGAGAAGCGTCTTACTGAGGCTATCTGGAATCAATATTAAATCAGAAAAATCATTGTTATTCCATGAAAAAGTACTCTACAAGTTACTGACTCGGGAATGACAATGATTGAGAGAATTTCATGAGCTTTTTTTTCCACATAAAAATATGCAGCATGCAAAAAGAGGGGAATTCGAAATCGTGGATAAAAACTCACCAACCATGGTACAAACAAGTCACCTTAAGACATACGTAAGCTTTTTTTCATTGTTCGTCATAAAAAAAACAGAATGCGAAAAAATTATTCTTAAAAAGAATATGACAATAGAGGCTAACTGTATGAAACGACATTGTTCACTGAGTAAAGCTTAGTATCTAAGCACTGCATGCAATACAACGCAGAAGCGATAGCCTGTCTTACAAACTTAGAAAAAACCTTGACATTTCTGCTTTAAATCTTTAGTGAGGATTTGAAATAAATACACAATAGCTAACATGACCTGTTTAAAGTTTTTCATGCTTATAAAATGCGAGGGAGAAATCTTCATTAGTCTGAAGTGTGTCAACTAACACTTTATAACTGCCATATGTCTAAAGAAGTTATCATTTGGCAAAACTTTTTTCATATCAAAACAGAACTTTTAAACGGTAAAGTAAATTTGATATAAAAATGTTAGCTTTTTATGGTACTTTTGTTCAATGCGTGAATGATATATTCTCTTTCGACAAAATATCTAATGTGGGTATTGTATATTTATTATTGAAACTCCATTACTATCGAGCCACTGGAAATATGTAGATGACCTAACAATATCCGAGGTCATCCCATCAGGCGGTACATCGTCCCTTCAGAAAGATCTTGACGCCATTGCACAGTGGTCGTCGCGCAATAATATGAACCTCAACCCAAAGAAGTGCAAGGAACTTGTGATTTGTTCGCTTAGAACACGGCCAGATCTTGGCCCTTTGTGCGTCAATGGACGTCCCTTAGAACGGGTCTCCTCACACAAGGTCCTTGGAGTCACTATCAGCGACACTCTTGGGTGGAATGAGCACGTGCGTGAGATTGTCTCCAAAGCCTCAAAACGTCTTTACATCTTAAGAGTGCTCAAGCGGTCCGGAACTCCACCCGAAGACCTTATTAACATATTTTATGCCTTGGTACGATCGGTCCTCGAATACGCCTGCGTCACTTGGTCTACTAGCCTACCAATTTACCTCAAGGACATGATCGAAAGAGTTCAGAAAAGAGCTCTGCGTATATTATTTCCGGCGCTGAGCTACAAAGACGCCATTGTGGCTGCAAACTCCACTCGCTTAAATGTGAGAAGAGACGAACTCTGCAAGAAAGTTTGGGACGGTATCTGTGTGCCTGGGTCACGGCTGTACCACCTTATTCCACCAAAGCGCGCCGATTGCCACGTTTATGAGTTGCGCAACAAAAAACCATGTATCACTCTTTAAATGCCGGACCGAAAGATTTAAAAAATCTTTCTTTCCAACAATGGCGTCTAACGCCCAGTTCTTGTAGTCAAGCAAACCTAAGCGTTTTTCATTGGTATATAACTACTGACTCTTGTAATTCCCAGTCCCCTTAGACTTTTAATTTTAAAGTCAAATGTAAGATTGTCGTATTTTTTAAATATTTAAAGTATACTTGTAAATTCACATGTATTTCACCACTGGGGTGCTATTTTTGAATACTTTTAATAAACCCTTCTATATATGTATCCTTGAAAAAGAAATTCTTAAGAAAAGAACAGAATGAAGCGCTTATTACGTTAAGTGACACGTTTTCTATTACATTTTCAGGCGATGCATGACACTCGAAGTATTTGTCAAGAATTACAAAAGCGCTGTTATTCTGAGACCATAAGAGACCAAAGAAATCAGGCGAACCCTTGAAGAAGAACTCTGATGTTTAGCAGCCGGTCGGCCGCCCACATCATTAAGTGGTGAACTGAAGCGCACGGAAATTGATAAATATTTGTTCTTGAGTCGTATATGTGATGTAAATTTTTTAGGATTTAGCGGTAGTATTTCATGTTATCTTGGAAGATTGGTTAGTTGTCTGACTTCAATAATCAGGTGAAATTGTTTTAAACCTGAAATGGATGCCTGCTGTTCAAAGCCCTCCAACATGTTTCTGAATTTCCCTTTGCTTTGTGTTAGCACGTGCTTATTGCAAAATTTAGATGACCACGTAAAACTACACATATTTGATGTGATCTTGACAAGTTCTGCTATATTCTCCAAATACCCAAGAACCCCACAAAACTGACTAAGCATAACCAAACTAATACCACAGTAATAGGGGCGGGCGAAGAAGCGCTAAGCAACCGCGCCAGAAAGAGGGTGTGGTTAAAATTAAACTTCCTTGGTGAGTCCTTCATCACTACAAATCATACTTCAATATACAAACACATACAGAAACATTGAACCCATGATCACGGCTCCCCTTTATCCTTCAATTTGCTCATCAGTAACCAGAAAATTTCTTAAAAATATGAAATTTGAAACAGGCCTTGAGCTGCTGTTGAAGCTTGCGGCCTCATTTGAATTTTAACACCCTCATTCAAAATGTTATTGTAGGACAAGATGTCAAGATCATAGAGAATTTTTCTATACCTTTGTCCGCGAATAAAAAGAGGCAATGTGGTGCAGCTAATACTGATGAGCCTCCGTTCACCAAGCCCTCCTGAACCTAAAACGCCAAAATGGTCCAATTAACGCTGATCTTCACGAAAAAAGAATACTTCCAAGTCAGCATCGAAAATAATGTCAGATTGCATTTGCTTTTTTACGTCACCTCGCGATTGATCAAAAGGACAGAGGATCGATGAAAAAAAACAAGCACAAAAAACTAACAAATTCTGCGTTTTTCACAGCAACTGGACAGTGTTCAGCACTGATCCTTACGATGATACTTTTGTGATCACATAACTTTCCTTTCCCGATGGGCAAAAAGCTGCGATAAATCGAAATTGACGGAAGCGACTTTTAATTTCTTCGAGGGCTCTTCAGAATAGCAAGAAATCTAAAGAAAGAAAATGGATAGGAAATAGACCTTTTGGAATATGCTGACATTGTTTGATACTTTCACCATTAGCTTATTTGCAGTGAACTTCCTTGTTTCGGAACTAATGCCCGAACAGCGATAAAATCAGGCATTGTTTGAATCATTTGCCCTCTAGAAGGGAGTTGTCCATGTCGCCATTTGCGACGAACTGAAAAGTAATTTTACAATGTCAAAAGTTTTATAGTTAGATATATTGCCGAGGACAACTATTTCTCTCTTAAATTGATCATGCATGCTGTAGTAAAATAATTCTTCATGTTTTATCAGTTGTATGAACGAAAAAGCTTTAAAAAAAACCACAAAAAAACATAAAAGCCAAGTAGCCTATTTTAGCGATAGTAAGCTGGCAAAGTTATGCGTAAGCAACGTTATCTAAACACTGTAATAGCCGGTGGTAGAAATGACATGGTTTTCAAGTTCATATTCCTCAGTTCGTCTATACTTAAATTTGACCACTTAGTTTGATTAAACCAAAAATAGGTTTGCTACGATCGGAATTGCGGAAATCCTCATAATGGAACAGTGAAACATCTTTGTCGTTTTCTAAGCGTTGCCGCCTCGTCTATTTCACCATTTGAATCAGCGGAAAGAGCTATTTATAAAAAAAAAATTACACTTAGAGTAAAAGATAAGTGGAAAAAGACAACGGCAATTTTCTTATCCACTTATCAACTATTTAGTCTTAAAGTAAAGTTGCTAGAATATGTAGGGTCAGAGATTATCTCTACTGGACTGCGCTTTCTATCAATTGAATGTCAGCAGACCCATGCGCTACTTCGGAAGATCACTACGAGAAAGAGTTCGTAAGTCAAGAACCGATGGCGAGCTATTTCCAAGTTTTCCGATTTCCCGATTTACAGTCCGAGTGAGTTCGCTATACTAAGCCAGTACATCAATATAAAGAGCCGTGTACTGTTTTATAAAAGACTTTTACTACAAAATCATTCTTCTTTGGGTTCATCGAAGAGGGGGTTCTCAAAATATGAGGAACGCACGAAACATCAAAGTTAATTCATAAAACCGGCTTCGAAATCTGGAACGCTTTTAACACAAGCGTATGAAGCAACTGCTGTCAATTTTGATCGATTTCCATGTCACTGAAAGGTTTATTTCGATTCCAAAAAGGTATCACTGTATTTAACTGTAGATTTTAACTTTTATCACAATTTCAAGAAAAGAAGTGACCTCATACAAAAACACAGAGCTTATAGATTTAGTTCTTTACTTCAGCACTTTTCAGAAAATTGCATTCGGTTCTTGAATGACTGAAACGAAATGCACCCTAATTATTTGGAAAATTATAAACACAGATTTGAATAATGTACGATCAGTTTACTTCCTGTTCATAATTCATTTTACGATGATTCGTCTTTTTTTGTCATACTTCTTTATGACACGAGGAACATTATCGATTAAAAGTTAAAAAGCCTTTCGGAAGAAAAGTCCTGCTCACTTGTCAAAGATAGATTGGGAGTTATGTCTATTTCACCGGCTCATTAATGCAATCAAGGAAATTGGCTTCCATTTTACATCCGTGAGTATTAAATACCAACAGATAAGGCGGCCTACGCGCTTTTTCACGAGGCGTTGTGTGGCCGGAACAACTTTTCTGTCAGTGTATCATAGTTTTTAATTTGCAAACGGCCCTTATTTACTCAAGCAGACGACAAGAACTATTTAACTACCTGCATGTGAAGGATCTTTTTAATGAATCAAGAGCTCTGCTGGATATAAAGAAGAACATCCCGTGTTAATAGAAACGCGTCACAACTGGAAAAATGAAGAGGGGTAGTAGTTTTTGTATTGTTCTGATAGCATTTGTTTTAACAACACTTGTGGTCCTTCGACCCTGCCAAGGACTAACGGCCGGTGGAAATAACTGGTCTAGAAGATCAAAACCTGAGGTGTGTATTAAAACGTCTTCCTTATATCTCAATAACAGAACTTACTGTACTCCTTTAAACGACCAGACTTAGTGCAAGATAAAGTGGTCGCTTAAGAGCGGCAGTGATTCCAAAACTGTTGGGGTAAACATAGATTTTTTAGTACAACTAATTCTAAATCAAGTAAGACAGTTTGGAAGTATGAACCTGAAATAAGCGCATCGAAACAACGAATTGTTTAGTACATTGGAATTCTAACTATAATGTCAGTGGTTTTCGTGGCTGTAGAACATAACTCCCTCGCAATCTTATGGACGGCAGCTTACAGACGAGACAGAACAAAGCTTTTTTGGCTTGGTTGTCCTTTGTCTTGGTTGCCAAAGACAAAGGTTTTGAAACAATAATTGACTAAGAAACAAAAAAATTTTGTTTGTTTTATTTAATTTTATGTTATTGTCCTCATTATATTGTTGCAGTTGCCACTGAAAATTCCTTACAGCGGAAGTGGCAATAAAATATGCATGTATATATGTAGCTAGAAACTTTCGATTTTATGGGGAAAGGCATTTCCCTCACGGTTGGAGTAATGTGTTCAGTGTCGATCGATAAATCCACGAAGGTCCACGCCCCAATGAGCGCCATTGTGTTGCGTTTAACAAGTCATCTTTACATTGTAGGAAAATAAGTAAGAGCCAGTCGATGTGATATCCCATGATGATAACCATACCCCTGGCCGCTGCAATAAACGCAATTAGTGCTTTAGCTGAAATCTTCTTTTATCTTCTTCACCCCTTGCCAACCCTGTCTCATCGAGTAATTTTTTTCAATTTTTTTTGTGTGTTTTTTGGAATTTTGGTTTTTTTCATATCGTATCAAATTGACACTTAGGCACAAAATATCAGAACGCGCTTGAGGAAGTATGTGCACATTCAAGGCGCAGTACAAGTGTAGTATCATTATATCATCATTAGATCAAGACCTTTTACCTCAATGCTAACCTCTTGCCCAGATACTTAGTCCCGGAGGCTCTACGTTTGGGATCATACTGAGGCCAATAAAAATTCTCAACTTTAGTCAATAGTATCCTGTGAAATCTCCTTTAATCATATGGTCTTAAAGATAAAATATTTCCTCTTTAATTAAAAGAGCGACAACACAAAATGATGAAACGTCTGCTTTGTAGCTGTGTTGAAGATGTTCTCATCACTTTGATATGAGTAGAAAAAGCATGGTTTTAAGTTATCTTTGTTCTTTTTTGACCACTTCCATCAGTGCGACGTATTGGCAAATCTTTTTCTGGCCTAAATATAAAAATTATACGAGTACACGATCAGTTAACAATATAAAATGCTGCTCCAAATTTTAGTCAGAGCAGGACCTTTGAAACAACTCTCATTTACATAATTGCAGATATATATCCATTACAAAGTCACTCATCAGTTGTTACAGTAATGTCGATTCGTTCAACTTTTCGTGGGTCAGATCATATTAGAACTCAGGAAATTGAAAATCATTACTTTACATTCTCCTAACATTTTAAATCAGCAGCTTCCGATACCCACATTTGCATTTAAGACTCCGAATCGGAAGACAATAAATCCTATTATTTCCGCGCCCACGTCGCCAGAAGCTTAAAGAACCAAATCGCATTTAAAAAAACAAATAATTTCCTATTCATGTGCCAAATGAATAAAGTTTGAAATCTTCGTGTTGAAATGAACTTTTCAAAACGTCATTTGACAATTTAAAACGGTTTATTAGATTTCAGGACACTAAACCTTGGTAGACTATATGCACCCCTTTTATGACACTTGTGCAACGTTCTAACTTAGAAAAAAAATATGGAGCCGTAAAACGCCAAGTGAAGTTATTAGGGAGAGTTTCCATATGTCTAAAAAGCAGATTTTACATAAAAAATTCGCTTGTAATGCTACGTAGCGTGCAAATTTATGCATAGAAATATGAAACGGCTCAAAAGATCAGGCCTTTACTTGAACATCAAAAATTACGATTCCGACCAATATCCTACTGGTTGAGAAAAAGTTATTCAGACTTGGCGTTTATTTCCGAGCGATCATTATTTACGGGGCTTAAACAATTTTTTTTAAAGGTAAAGTTGCTTATTCAATCAGCTCTCAAACGCTATAAATATGAATAATGATCGTCTTGAGAATGATCTTCAAAAAGAAACCCCGCCCGCGAACTGTTCCTAAAACAGAAAATCATGCAGAAATTTTGGGTGTTTTTTCTCGTTGTTTCGTTCGTCGCTGTAGCTAACTTCATTTCAAAAACCAACGGAATTGCCGCCGGTGGGTCTACATGGAAATCGAAAAGAAATTCGGAGGTTGGATCAATAGAACTTTTCTTCAATGACTATAATTTACACCACATGATTGCTCTATTATACTTGGCACATGTTCATGTTCTATGGCTGACCATTCTTTAGCATACTCATTGCTCTCTATCATTACTTTGTTATTGCAGTAACGAAACGATAATTAAAAAGCGCTAAAAATTATATGTATACACATACATACATACATACATATATACATATATACATATACATATATATGCATATATGCGTCCTCTTTAATTCTCTAACTTATGTATGTATATATATATATATATATATATATATATATACACACATATATATAGATGCCATTTTACCCGTTTTTAGTTGAGAACATATTCGATGTTTCATTTTGATTGAGTAAAGGACTCAAGCACCGTCAGAAGTCAATTGTTATGATAATCAAATCGCAACATGTATGATTTCAATGTCACTTGTCGATTCAAAATGCTATTGGAGACACTCTGATCATTTTAAAATCAAATTTCACATTCAGAAACTTGTCCATTTTGGTGGAAACAAACTTAAACTTGAACCTTTTTGGTTGTTTTTAAGTTACGCGTCGAGTTAAATTAAAAAAGAATTTTCCATTTCTAACTTCAGCTTTGAAGGAGGATTTTCTGAAAGCCTTTATTTTCTGAAAAGGTATCGCAAGACATATTTAAATCGGTGACTTTTATGATATAAAAAACTGGTATGTCTCATAACAATATCTTTGTTCAATTACGGCTTTTGGTAACCTTGAATTTGGACAGAACGCTTATTCAGTTGTTCATGATAACTTACAGCCTGAACAAATCAGCTGATAATATTTTGGTCCGCTTTGACTATGCCAGGAATCCACCAATCGAAAATTCGAAGAACGAAATGGAAGCTGCGTACGAGGTTCCTTGAATACTTTATGAGGATCGAATGGGCAGAATCTTATCTCTCTCCCCTACTCTTAGAACACGAGAAAATCTTCTATTGATCACTGATTTTCAATCTTTTTTCTTAGGCAAAGCGAGCATTGGAGAGTATGTGTAGAGCAGCAAGAGAGCATTGCAAGCGTGAGGTCCTTTCTGACGACTTCGACCTGCCTCGACTCCGCCCCGGTCAATAAAATTCAAAGTTTCAGTTATTCGAGGAGAAGAGAGATTATCCACGATAGAGAAAGAGGACTTCTATTGTCATAGCAGAATAACTGAATCTAGAGACATTTGATAACACCATTGACTTGTATTTAACCGACCTAATTAACTATGAAATAAATTGCGACGTTTGATTCAGTCATGATGCACAAAGTGTCTCAAGGATTGATATCACCCCTCTTAGCGCTATAGCTTTAAATTGTACCTCAGGCATTTGACAAGAACGGAGTGAAACTATCGATTTCTGTTGATCTTTAGAATTCACCTACGTGACGTTTGCATCCACACGTAAAATGTGCGCGCGGACTGTTTTATTTGATATATAAGCAATGGCTTCCATTTGGCGAAAATATTAAGATCTGCACGGATATTTGTCCGCGGTCATTATCTGTTCCAAGATGAGAACAGTTTTCGAGAGCGAAACTGTAAGCTTCGAGCAACGCACTTTTTCGTACCAAATGAAGTCTATTGTATATATTGTCCTTCAAATACTTTGGCAACGCGCTGGTGTTCGCAAACAATGTACTCTTTGCTGCGCGTGGGATGTTTAGTTTTCAGTGTTCTCTGGTACGACTCTATCAACAAACACAGATGTCCCTTCTTCTGTAACAATAGCTGAACGCTCTCTCATCTTAAATTAAACTTTAAACGCTTTTATCGCAATAGACGTAAGGTATGTCCTCGGATAATCCCCAGTCTTAGCAAGGTTCATTTTCAATGACTTGGCCAGTCGCGCGCGTGCAAAATTACGACATGGATTTTAACAAACATTAGAGTTCCACAAGTGCCTGGAAGATGCCATACTACTGAAAAAATTGAAAATCGGTTATTCAATGTACAAAAAAAATCAGAACATTCTTCGATAGATGCTTAAGTGTGGTTTATGGCTGAAGGTGTAGAGGGCTGAATACATTCAGAGACACGCCTGAAAATCATTAATATTGTTGCTGGAAAGCAATAATATTAATCATTACATTGATTGCTGATCTTTTATATAAAAACTGACCAGATATCCAGCAAAGAAAATAAAAATCGTTCTCAGAGAATTCCTGGAAAATGCGACACTTGACAGCATTCGGCTGTATGATGGCCCTCAGTAATTTCTGTTCTCACCATTACTTCGTTCCCCATATTGACCTTTCATTTAAGGGATAAAATTTATTGATGAAATGAAAGTAAACTTATTTCGAGGAAGCCAAGAAACTGCTATAGCCTGTGGTTAGCAGGGGTCAAATATGAGGAAAGGAAAGAAATTGAGTTCCACGGTCCCTCATGTGCAGTTTAAATTGATAAAAATACTTTAGTTCTGGTACCCACTCAATCTAAAACGAGCGGCAGAAACTGACAATATATGAGCCTTTAATTACTATTTAAAATTAAATCCTTCACAACAGCTGCGAGATTGGCGTGTATGATAAACCCCAGGAACTCTAAGTTTACGAAACTTTAATCATCCCTAACAACAATTGGCGTTATTTGCATGACTATGAGTTCTTGTAATATTGCCAAAGCATATGACTTAAGCAGGAGGAACAACGGGGTAAAGATGAAAAGTCAGTCGGGAAACATCGACTTCGAAATCATTTGATAACAAACCTATTGTGTAAATTCCAACGTGATAATGATTTAAAATCATTATTTCTTGATGGAGGTTATAAACAGAAAAAAAAGATGGAAATGGGCTTGCAATGAACTAAAGTACTCGATTAAAGTCGCTAAGTCCAAGATTTAACTAGCATTTGCCGTTAATTTTACTATAATCTTAGGCTTACTATAATCTAAGACCGTGTTTAATTGGAGATTTGTAGAAGGCTAAAATTAACGAATCTCACATCTGAATAAGCCAAGCTGATGACCTAAAAGCTTACAAAAAGCGTCAGATCAAAGGTTTCTGCGGCTGTGTAAGGCCATACTCAAGCAGACACTTGTGTGGTAGATATCTGCACACCTAGTGTTTCCGAATATATTAGTTTGAGATACTGTCGTGATTTTCGAATCCCAATCTCAAGAGACAATTCTAATAATGAATTTCTCTCATTTAAGTACGCCTTCTGCAATCCGCCTGTTGATAATAATGGTTTTAATATTACATGAAAGTGATGGATTCACGGCTGGTATTGGTGCCAATGTTCCAGGACGAAAACGCAGTGAAATGAAGGTGAGTCCGGGAGAACTTCAATTTTATAAACCTTCGTTATTCTCAGAATAACGTCATTTAACTGTGAACTACAACTTGAATAATTCGCAGATTGTTCTTCGTAATTTGAGAAATGGTTTTATGTGTAAAGTAGGCTTGAACTGAGCTTAGCGAAATTTTTTCCGTAACTCAGATTATAATTCGTTTTTAGTTAGCAGTGCATTGTAAATTACGGTATCAAAATCCGCTTCCTTTCTGAAAAATTGATATAGAATTTTGAAATCTCTGGAAAACCTTCCGTTAAAAGTATTCTAGCTAACGAAGGAAGCATTTGCTTGATTTAGGTAAGTTAAGTCGCATATTTTTCGCATAAGTTGTGGTTAAACTCTTTTCGTTAAGCCTGCCTCAAGAAAGAAAAACCCTCTCACACTGTGTACATTAACCGTTATAACTAGGCTCTTCAAATATTCGAAGTTACGTGCAAAACGTCCACGCCTTCTATCCCGTGGTAAATGTTATTTTTACCTCTTTTCATTTCTCTTTTCACTGCTTTAAATAGCTCCAGCAAATACCACAGAGACCAAATCCATCGAGGTTTGCCAAAGGAACACCACATAGGAGAAGATATCAGTCTGACGAGATAATGACGAAAAGATCGATGAATACAAGAGGACATCAAAAGAAATCAGAATTTAGCTGAGCTAGCAGAACATTTATCCAAAAAATTCTCCAGCCAAAAATTTTCAGCAAATGAAAAGTGGAACTTAGTGCTGAGCTTGGAACTAATTTAATAGATTTTTTTTGCATCCTAATTAAACAGAGTAATATGAAGCAAGTTACTTTAATTTTCTGTTTTCTTTCATCCCTTCATGAAAATCAATAAAACTTCCTGACTAATTTGGTTCTGAGATATACGCCAAGTTAGTTATCCGAGGGGGTGAAAGAGGTTTTTTCGAGATGCCAGATTAAGTGTCTTGTAATGTTCTTGACATGTGAAAATATGAAATTAAAACCGAGTGAACTGTGAATTTTTTTGCTCGTTGTGATAGTTGAACCTTAAGGTGTTTATTCAATTCCTCTGTGATGCGATGCGTTATTTCTACTTTGTGATTTGAGTGAGATGTGCGCAAGACTCCCCACCCACCCCCACCCACCCCGTACGACCCCTTCACCCAGATATTAATTTCTTAGACAAAGTACATTTTATATAAGAACTGATAGGTACCCCTCTAGCTGTTCCGTTTAATGATGTCTTAAGGTCTTCACTTCCATAGGGAATTGCTTTGCGAAAGATTTTTCAACTTTTCTTTGATACGTTGTTTACGAGTTGTCATTAAACATTAAACAATTTAGTTCTGATGTCACAATTCGAACCTGTCATCAATATCTTTGCTGCGACCAAGTTCCCAGGGTCCTCTCTCTTCCTCTCTCAAAAAAGAAAGAAAAACAGGACCCTGGGAAGGAGATTGATCTTGCTAATGTCATAACTTGCACGTTATATATCAGCCCAAATGCACTAAACTTCCCTACGAGTAACCGGGATGCCTTGGAACGAGTTCATTTGGCGCCCCTTTGGGCAATCAAAAGTAGTTTCTATGCAACTACAATCAGAAACATCTTATTTCAGTCTGCACAATAATCTTAATAGAGGTTTAAAGTAGTTTGTCAGGTTTAGAGCAAATATTAGTCACAAGTAGACATACTAAAGTACCCACCTTGTGCCCCATAACTGGGGCAAATTCGCCTTGTTTTTTTCTTCTTTGAGTGGGTTTTTCGTCTCGTAAAAAAGCTTCCGCTTCTTCAATAAGATCTTCTAAACTCTTGCTTTTCTCCGCCGCTATTTCGGATAAAATTGATCTCATTCCCAAAATTCTAAGTAAACCCGGTCACTTGTGAAGAAGACAAGTTAAGATTATTTCCATTTGAGGAGTAGATCTTGTTCGCTCCTTTTCAAACTTCGTCCTTACAGGGTGTGGGAAGGGTGTAACTGTGCCACATTTCATGGAAATCACTTTCCGTTAAGAAGATCTTTCAGGAACATAGAACTTTTTATATTTTAAACTATCGGGTGATTCGCTCATTCAGTAAAAAATTAAATGGCACTTCCACCGACACCTGTGGAAATTCCAACTCACTATCAAATAAAATTTCCCAACGAGTCTGCCCCAGTCTATCACTGCTGTCCTCGGCCAATATGGCGAACAAGGCCTGACCGTAAACAGACGCGCGAACAAATTTACAACGTTTTGGAACGGATGCTGTATATTTGTACTCAAGAGTGAGACAATATGAAGATCCAGGGTTGTGTGGCAATAGTAACAGGAGGAGCACAGGGGATTGGAGAGAAAATTTGCCGAGCTCTGCTGGAGAAAGAATGCAAAGTAAGTATTGAATGCAACTCAGGATTGTGATGTCTGCAAACACAATTTGAGAGATCATCGGGTTAATTCCTCGCTGACATCAGGGATCATTCAAATATTTCGAGTGATTTTTTCTATTTTGTTCATCGTAGTTTGGATTAATCATTCTCTCAATTAAGTTTGTGAACAGTGTATCCTTCCTAACAGCTTGATTTCCAAGCCTTCGAACAGGAGTGAGGTTAGGTTGACCTTGTTATGATACAACCTCGCTGCTTTTCATATGTAAATTACTTTGTTATCATGCTAACTAGGTACTGGTCTCTTTCACAACAAGCTCACCTTCAGCCTCACTCCAAAATGGCCTATTGAACATGGTATGAATGTTGGCATTGCATTTTGCAGTACTAAAATGATTTTGAAAATTGTGTTCCTAATATTCTGTATGAATATTCCAAGAAGGGGCTGTGTGAGGTCAATCAACCAATCTACATCATTCAATCTCATAATCTGAACTGGGTGGTCAAAAGATTTTGTCCCAACTGTAGGGGTTTCAAGGCTTAAAGGCAGCGCACTTTACTGAAACTTCTCCAAAATTGACTACACACTTTGACCTGTGCAACCTCTTTGATTACTTTGTTTCATGCATTTCAGCTTTACTTTTCCGAATCATACAAGTTGTTAGGGAGCTCAAACTAGGCCAACAACAGCAGCATGTGCTAAAACTTAAGCACCTCATGCTGCCAATACAATTTAACCTTGGATATTAATTGTCTTGCTTTTGGACATGGTGAACACATCAGGCTATATAAATAATATGAAAATACTTAAAAGCTTAAAAATTCATTTTAAATTGCTGAATACCTGGGTTTTTCTATCAGTAACTGCTTCCTTGTGCCTGCAGGAGTAGCTTACAGTCTGCAAGTTATGAAGAGATAGGTGGCAATTTTCGCATTTTAATTTATCAAGGTTGCCATATTGGATTTAAATCATGATAAAGGCCTTCAATTACAAGAGAGTTTAGAAAGACAGTATGGATCAGGAAAAGTGATCTTCATTAGGTGCGATGTTTCATCAAAGTCTCAAATGAAAGGTATTGATCAAAACAATAATTTTAATGGTGCCAATATGAGCAACAATTTGAGTTCAATGAGTTCAACTTTTTTCTAGCTAACAGTTTTAGCCCATTATTTTGATCCTCTGACAGTCTTTTGAGCCATTGAAGGGAACTTAGGTACAGTTGGTCTGAAAAATTGTCTAACAATTGGCTAGGAAATGTTAGGTGGCCCCTGGTGATGTTGTTGAACTCTAAACAAGATGTTGGAGATCTTTACTCTCATGGTAATCTGTGCAACAGTAGACTGGACTCAGAATGTTGATGAGATGCTCTCAGATCCTCTCCAAGATATCAGTCATGGGGACATTAAGCCTCCTAAAGGCTGAATAGGAAGCAGTCAACTGTTTAGTGTCAGTTGAGGAAATATTGTCAATAGCATGGGTATAGCACCCAAACTTGTTGACAGAGGTTAACATGCTGAAGAGCTCAGTACATGAGCTTCAGTTCTTGGGTAGTTCAGTGCAGCAAGAAATATGGACACTACATGTACATTGCAGACAATGTGATAACAGCCATTCAGTTTAACTTGATCTGTCACATGTGTTACAATGTTTTAACCCTAAAACTCCCAAGATCTGATTGTTAATTCTCCCCTCTAGCTACTACACATTTCCACGTAAATTGGTTATGTGGTGTTGGATCAAGATAACAACTTCTTCAAGTAGTTTGAGTATTGAAATTATAGGGAGAAGTTATGTATTAATCACTTCAAGGAGTTAAACTCAGTGTTCAAGGGATGAGTGTTTAGACTGAGGAGTCCTGTGTGACCTATTGGCTGACTAAATTGCTGTTAGGATCATTAACCACTGACAGACTGACTGACTGACTGATTGTTAAGCTTGTGGGGCTTAACTTTGTTTAATAATTAACAATAAATTATTATAGTTATTTATCCAAGTGTAAATTGCTTTTCTTTGTTGCCCTATGGCTTATAGACTCCTTCAAGAAGACAAAAGAGGTGTTTGGTCAGATCAATATTGTCTGTAATAATGCTGGTATATCATCAAAAAATGAAGAGTGGGAAGAAGAATGGGATAAAGAAGTTGATGTGAACTTGGTGGGTAGAATTGGTAATTTGCTGTGGTTCATAACTTTACTAGGTTTATTTTTATTTTTACAGATTTTATTTTTGAATCTTAGATTTCTTAGTGATTTTAGTTACAGGACTTTTTTGATAACAGTTCCTTTTAATCGAACTGATAGGTTATCCTGTATAAATATTTGCATTATTATTATTGTTATTATTATTATTATTGTTTATTATTATTAGATGATAGGATTATTTTGATTAATTTTCATTGAATGGTATTTGAAAGGCTGGTTTTCACCAAAAAAAAAATTGGGGTCGAAGTCATAATCAGTTGTGCAGAGTGCTGTGATCTTGTGAATAGCAAACATGCAGAGACAGAAACAAAGTGCTGATGCCAATTATGACTCTGACTTTTTTATAACGAGCTAGACTAGTGAAAAATAGATTGTTAAAGTTGTTTTCTTCCTGGGCCTTAAAACTTGCATTGTAGTTTAGTTGTTCTGGCAGCTTCTTTTGTGACTCTGACAATCTATTTTGCACTGAATCATAAGGATTGGAGTCATAAGCACAATTGGAACAAAAGAGAAACATTCTGGTTATTTTGATTCTGATTCTAACCAACTTACAACTCCTCTCATGACTCTTATTGATTTTCACTTGCATAAGTACAATTGTTCATGCGATTTGAATTATCACCCCAACTCTGTCTTTAATCTGTTGCTGGTGAAAACCAACTTTAAGGGATTTTAAGCAGTAAGATTGCAGATGCAGTGGCTTCCAGGTTAGTGCAACAAACTCTGTACTGAAGGGTCTTGGTGTGGATTTAAGTAATAGTCATTCACTGTGTTGAGTTTTTGGGAATGACGCTTAACTTGCACAATATGGCCTCTCTGCCCTGATGTATCAGTGATGACTAACAAACTTTCAAGAAAATCCCATAAAACATCTTACGGGGGAAGGTAACCCTGTGATGAACTTGCATCCTGCCCCAGTAGGTACTGAAGCAGAAGTAAGCCATGGAAGAATTTGCTTTGTGGCTCATAGCCTGATTCCTTTTTTTGTTTTCATTTTTGACAGTAAGACTTTCGATAATCTTTAGGGATTTTGTTCCACAGCTTCATTGTTATGTTGTGGTTGTTTTTATAGAAGAGTGTAATTCATGGAACTTTTCTTGGTGTTCATCACATGAGTCGGATGCGTGGAGGAATGGGTGGTGTTGTTATCAATGTGGCATCAATGGCAGGTAGTCATGGAAATGAAGTACGTAGCAAAATGTTCGAATTACATGAATTGTTTCCATCATATAGGTTAATTATAATTAATAAATTTCATATTTTCCTGAAATAAGTTTCTTTTGATATAATTATGATTTCATGCTCACATTACCTGCTGTACCAACAGCTGTTTAAGGCCGTTACATTGGCTAAATTGAATGCTCTTCCTTGTTGAATGTGTTGGAACTTCTTTCCCCAGGATGATCATGCCGCTGTTATTTCAGGTACAAACTTCTTATATGTCAGCTGAAGGCAACACATTTTTTCAATAGTTCAAATGCATAAAAAACCTTTTCACTTCACAGGCATTTTCCCTGTGGGACAGTCCATGGCTGTGTATTGTGCAACAAAATTTGGAGTTGTTGGGTTTTCACAAAGTCTAGGGGTAAGTATGGATTGACCCCTGAAGTGCCTGTAATAAATAGTTGTATGCGCTGAACAATTTGAAGTTTCTTCATTCCCTCATTTGACCTTTGTCTAAGTTTGGAGGGTGGGGAATTTTAACTTTGTCTGGCTGGAGTGGGGAATTTGAACCAGAAATGTCAAGTACATTCAGTGTAATACAATTGCTAGATCTTTTAATATAGAGGTGTTTTAAGGTAAATATTTTATTTTTTATCCAAACAGCCTCTGAAAACAAGGTCTCAGTTTTAAAGCTTGGTCATTGTCGAAAGTAATGGCCACTGATTTTGCCTTTTACAAGAAATTGGCTGGTGCATTTGAACACAATTTTTGCCTCACAGGGAGGGAATTTGAATAAGCCAACTTTCACAAGTTCAAATGCCCAGGGGGATGTTGGAGCATGGATTTAACTGATGCATAATCAACATTTTGAATGAGATATTCTGTTTAGCATTCAAATCAAATTGAAACTTGTACCAGCAATGTATCATCAAATGATGATAGTTAATATAATCACTGGAGTTGCTTCTTCAAATGCAGTTTGCATTTTCTTAGCACAATGTAAGGAGCAAAACTGTACTGTTCAATAAAGGGGTAAGTTTCTAAAGAAACTGTGGTGCTGCATTGGTGGGAGAGTATAGCAGGTAATTTAGTGCTAACAACTGGGTTGAAAACATAAATTAGCCACCGTAAAGAGTAAAAAAGCTGATGTCAGCTCGAAACGTCAGCTTTTTTACTCTTTACGGTGGTAATTTACATTTTCAACCCAGTTGTTAGCACTAAATTACCTGCTGTACTGTTCAATAGATCACCTGTTTATTCTGTCATTGAAATCAACAATGAATCAAATTGAGATTATTATTATTATTAGTATGTCAACATAGAATGCAGGGTAATTAAAAAATTTGATCATGTTTACCTTTCATCTTAGGGACTTTATGAGACAGAAGGAGTGAGAGTAAATTGTATCTGTCCAAGCTATACAGAAACAGATTTGTTTTGGTCCTCATTTAATGAAAAGCGAGCCAAAGAAACTCCAAACTTTCAAACAGTTTTAAGATATGGACTAATCAGGTATCTAAGCAGAAGTCATACCAAGAGCATGTGTTGGATATAAATCTATGATACTTTTAGAAAAGGAAACTTTGCTGTCATGTTGTAATTTTGATCTGCCCCTGGCTGGTTTCAACATCACTAGGTTTTTTTTTCATGACATAATCCTGTAGCAGTGAAAAGTGCATTTTTTTCTTCTTTTTTTGTAGGGGAAAATACAATGTTGCAATATGTAAAATAAGGATTTTTATCTCTGACAATAACAGAGGTTTTTTGACAATTTAATGTCATCAAATACTACAGTCGCCCATGTTGAATTCATGTATTCTGTATTTTAGGCCTGAAGTTATTGCCACAGGAGTTATACAGCTGATTGGGAAGGACAGTACTAATGCAGCAGTGATGATGGTGACTAAAAAGAGAGGAATTGAGATCATGAGACCAAGGGGATCAAGAATATCAAAACTATGAATTGTTAATTATTATGGAGATGATTTAATCTTAAATGAGACAAAAAAAAAAAACCAAAAAAAAATAAGCTTAATCCATTAGTTTTGAAACAAGATAGTTGAGAGGGAGGATACCAATGTGAGAGCTGTTTATAATTTTTTTTCCAAAGTACAAATCCATTTTTGATTGTTTTTCAGAGCTTTGTTGAAGATATTTTATTATGTACGTATTTTGCTAAATAATAAGTGATCTAGCAATCAGTTAATGTGAATTGTTTACTCATGGTCATTTGATAAGTCTGTCAATTAGTCCATCAAGGAAGCACAGTATGGTCTAATTGATCTGAGAGCTAATTGATTAATCAATTGAGTGGACAGTGAATCAATCAGACAATGAATCAATTTATTAATCAATCAGTAAATTAACCAATCAGAAAATCAATCAAACAATCAATCGGTCCACCAATCAATAAATTAAGCTATCAATCATCCAATCAGTTGATTAATCACATTTTTTGCCGCTTCCGTCAAATTACGAAGCTTAACTAAAAATATATTTTTGATACTTTTCATAACGGTGAAAATTCACAAATATGTTGGCTATGGGGAAGAAAAACCCTGTGGGAATTGTAGCCCTCTCTTATTAGCAAGTAATCATAGAGGGAAGATAAAAATTTTTTAAGCCCAGGTTTGCCAACGTACAATTTACCCAAATCGTGGTTTTAATATGTATAATTTATGAAAAAAAAAGGCCTCCATTTGTCGCGAAAATCTGCTCAGACCCCTATCCTGGGACACTTCTGTTTTGATAATCGAACAAATGATGTTCAAGGACAACTATTAAAAAATAGTTTACTTACGCTATTTTAGAATTAAATGCTTACGAAGAGCCACGATGGATTTTCTCAGCGTGGGCGTGGGATGTTGCCTGTTCTGTCGTCTTTTTGTACGTTTTTATAAACACTAGTGTTTGCCTCTTCTTTTGCAGCAATAGTGAAAAGCTCTACCATGTGAGGTTTGCCAATTGGGGAGTATATATCATTTAAATAACGAGCTCGAGATTTCTGTTGAGTGATTTTTGGGGGCGATTTCCAAATCAACCATCACACATTGCAAGTGGGAGCGAAAAATCTAATTTTTAAAGTATACATCTACTATTTGTTCATACGAGACAGATTCACCTTTTTATTTTATGTTGTTTACAATCACTCACTGTTACACCACTCACCTTCACAATTGCCTATTACAGAAAAGACGGCGACTAGGTAGCCAATCAGATCGCAGTAGTTTTGATAAAATGCAAACAGATTTACACCAACACCGGAAATTCCCTTGTTTCAGCATGGGCATATTTCATCACGTGATGTGTTTAGGCCGATCGCACGTGAGCGAAAATTTTGATATATATTTTTTTATGTGAGCACAGCTGCCGCGATGTTGCCGGTGGTTTGTGAATAGTAGGCTGTTATCAGGAAGTACCATTTAGCGTGATTAAGCCATACCAGGTTATCGTGACAATAAACTCAGGACTCCAGCTGATCCTCCTACAAGTGGTAACAATAGTTGACATTACTCACACTCAGGGCTGGTAGTTTAAGCGAAGTCTTACTTTACGAGTGACTAGCATCTAATTTCTCTCTAAAAAATATCACCCCTGAATTACACATTCATTTACAATAATAAAGGAAATTATCACCAACTAGAGAGGCTCTTGACTGTTAAACAAGTTCTCTTTGTCAGCAACTTAGGAAACGTGTACAGAACAGTATGGAGAATATGCATACTGATGTTAGGGTGTAAAGGATTAATCGATAAACCTCGAGATTGCTCTCGTAATTTAGGTGTTGTTTGCATTCTAAAATTCATTTGGAATCAGTCAAAAATTAACAAGCCTTCTTTACCTTAATCAATGTTTCCAAAAATAAACATTTAATTATAATAGACGTTTGACGATATCAAAGGATGGGTTTCATCGCGTTCTTGATAAATGTTGGCCAGACTTTGTCGGAATGAGAGGCGATTGACGTTTCTCTTATGTTCTAGCTCTCATTTGATGAATTTACAGAAATATTTGACATGATTTAAGTTCTGCCGAAAATTTTCGTCTGATGTTTAAGAGACTGCACGTTTCTCTAGCACTTGGGAAATTTATGAGAATTCATCGGTGGAGATTTACTTGCTTAGCTTTCTACATGACACGCGATAAGTTTTTTGAGCACCAGCGAATCCTAAGGATTTTCCCTTGCTACCCAACTTTGCCCTTACATCTATGAGGAGTTCAAGTCTAAGAAATCCGCGAATGTTATCAATTCTGTTAAGGAAATTTGTAGAGCTTCATCTCCATTTTCGTGCCCCCCACGGACCTTTAAGGACCTTTCAAAGGTCCAAAGACTGAAAACTAGAAATGAAACCGAGATGCATCCCCCTTCTTTCTTCTCCTTTTTCCTTTACTTTCCAGTACAGAAACTGTACGAAAACTTAAAGACCGAACTTTTTTTGGTTGAAAAACAAAATATTTGAAACAGATAAAGTCGAGATACGTTGGTTGAGTGGTTCAGACGGTACGACCACTCAGCAGGGGTGGCCTGGTACGACTTGTCAGTCACGTGACTGGAAGCCATGTTTGGAAGAAAGTTTGGTGGCCGCTCAAGATGGCGGGTAGGTTCTGAATTCCGATGAGGTATTCGTCCCATTTCAGCACTAATTATCTGTTTCTTTTCAGATATACAATTTCACATAGAGAATACTGATGGTCCAGAAGAAGAGGACCAAGAAGATGGTACGTTTTGTTTAAAATCTCCCTGGATAAGCGGCATTCGTTTTCTACAACGCATCGGTTTTCGTTAGTTTCACGCTTCAAAAGTAACGTATTACTCAATATCTTGATTTCGCAGAGGGATATGAGATGGATCAAGACGAGACGTCATTACACTGTTATGCCTCCGCTGAAGAACCAATGAGTCCTCTCAATAGAATGGAAAGATTTATGTTGAGCGACATAATCGTAAATCGGTAAGTTTGGTAAAGTTCATGCCTGCATCCGCTCTGATCTGCTTTGCACGTGTGAATAAAAACCACGTCTACTTGTTGTACTTTCGCATGTCTGTTGAACCTTCCTTAATCAAATATTTTATTTGCAACAATTTCCTTGTAGACAAATGGCAGCTAGATGTTGTCAGGACGCGTTAAGAGCGAGCAAGGCGAAGGAAGAAGTTTATCATGTGTTGAGGCTAATGGTTCGCTTATCGGACGACATAGGTAAGACCTTAATACATAACTCCTAGTTTAGCGTGAAGAACCCACATTAGAGATAACGGTCTCTGCATGTCATGAATTCGAGAAAAGCTTCTAATTTAGTTTTTAATCTTGTTTGAACTTGGAAGAATCATTTATTTTTAACCCATCTCAGCGGAGTCCATATTTTTGCGGTGTACAATTTTGAACTCTTTATCGCAGCGGGTAAGGCCGGACTACGCTTTTGCTATATTTGAAGGAAAGAAAAGGTGATAAAAAATTGTTGGTAGTTGAATCTGTTCGTCGAGTGTGAAATAGTTATTACTAAGCCATACGGTAGACTTTAGAAGTATAGCATGTATTTTTTCGTCCCAGTTGTTAGTCTCGTCGTGTTTGAAATTTTGCTAAACAAAATGAAGGCAATGTTTATGTTGATCCCGCTAATGAATTACAATTTTATTCCACTAATAAGAGTCGGTTGATTATAAAAGAAAACCTCAGCTACTTAGAATCACGATCATTTGATTTTAAGATAAAATATTCGTAGCTACTGTACATCTGTACATGTGTGTAAGGAATAGCTGCATTTGGGAAGAGCCTAGACAAATAAAAGAATTATTTCACAATCAAAATATTGACACCTCAGCTACGTAGTTCTGACGAATGTGTACTTGTATTTAATTTAAATATTAGTCATGGTCTAAAAAGATAAGCTAAGTGCATTTTCAGAAGATAATATCATTGTATTTCTTTAGTGTGGGTGTACAACAAGAAAGTCATAATTTATATGTAATGATTTACTCATTAAGATGGGTCTAAACCAATTTGTTGGGTTGTTATGGTTTGAAATTGTTAAAAATGAGCTTACCTTAAGATTTTATGCTGGTCATGGTATTAACTACTTGTATTATCCAACTATACGTGACTGCAGCAGCAAAGAAGCTGCTATTTTGTATTCCATACACAGATTTGGGCAGGATGCATGCACAGCCCCATGCATACAGTTCTTGGATAAAGAAATAGTAGATTGCCTTTGGAACTATGGCTTTGTCTATGAATTGCATGGGTTATCCAAAAAATCTTTCCTAGATTTCTACATAGAGTGCTTGGTTGTTAAGTGACATTTTTAATGGGAGACAGGAAAGTGGTGTGAAGAAATATAGCCCAAATGCAGAGGTTTCATTAAAAGCCAGTAAGGGGTGGTATACCCCCACCTCTTGTTGCCATCTTTTAGGCCCAGGAACAGGCTTTTTTGTTTGGATTTTGCTTTACTGCACAGCTATAAATTTTACCAGGAGCAGCCACTTATGGAAAAATTTGTTCAAACTCCTGTGCAAATGTGAAAAAGGGTACACAAGTACATTGTATTAGTTAACACCTAGTGCTTGCTATTAGTTGCGTTAGTGCAAGAAGCTTCAGTACCATTCAATGTGTCCCCCTGTATCAAAGAGTAATTAGAGGTACCAGCAATCTGAGTGGGAAACTTGGGGAAATATTTGTGGATAACCCTCATGATGAGGAAACAGGACTTAACAGGAAGACTTGACAACAATTTTATTTTATCTTTTAGAACCATCTGTTAGAGTGGAGCTGATGGAGCAAGTCCCACATGTCGCTGTGTACTGCTATGAGCATCATTCAATGATGGAAGCTGTGCCACAGTACATTTTATTCATTGTGCTGCGGTTTTTGACAGATTCAAACAATCAGGTAGATTAAATTCAGAGTAAATTCCATTTTAAGCCTCTTGACATTTTTGATTTGCCATAAAGAATTATTGCTTGAGCAAATGGAGTGATCCTGAATGTTTTTGATAGTTTGGATGTATGTATTTGAGTGGACGAAGGAAGACCTTCCAGAGAACATTACCTTGGTGGAAGTAGAGATTGTAAAAGAGAATAATTACTTTTAAATCAAAGAATAACATGTATGTTCATGTACAAAAAGTTTGTCAAATAAGGTTAAAACTGTTAGATGAAGTGACCTTTCTAAAAATACATGAACCAAGAAAAATGTAGATTTTTTCAACTGTTTCACTTTAACCTTGCTGTTCCTTTTTTTTTTTTTTTTTTTTTTCAGTAATATTTTTAGTGTGTGTAAGGTTCTCAGCTATTAATAGTAATTTCTGAGACGCTATACAACTGTTTAAATACATGTATATTATGATGCAATCTCTTTAAATGAGAGGAAATGCCACTCATATTACTTTTCTCTTGGCATGTCAGACACAGCTTTAAATTGGCTGGAAATTAGCTTTACTATAATTCCTTTTTAGCCTCTTGCAACTAATGAAAATGTGCTGGTTGACCCAAGAGACCTTTGATTTTATGTGTAAAACTGAAAGTTGTTATTGCTTTGTTTTTTGATATTTAGGTTCGAAAAACAAGTCAGGCTGCCCTATTGGTTCTGTTGGAACAGGAAGTTGTGGAAAGAGGTGAAAACAAATCTTGTTATTTATTTCATTTTTCTCCTGATTTGCTTCTGAGTTATTTATTTCTTTGGGTTAATATTCAGTTTTGCTTTGGTAACAAATTCAGTCAACTCTTAGTACATGTATATATGTAACAGATAAGTAACAGTTTGACTTTTGATTACAATAATTGGTAAAGAAAATAAAACATTAACAACAAGAAAACCTAATAGAAAGCATTTACAAGACAAGACAAAACAATGCTTTATTTGCATAGATCACTAAAATTCAATTATAATAATTCTTTTATTTTACAGTATCGTTGATTGATTCAAAATGTGTTTCTAGTATCAATATGCTAATGTTTCTTTATGAATCAGGGAGCTTAATAAAGCAGAGGTTTTCCTGATAGCTCCTCTAGGTTAGGTTTCTTTACAAGTAGTGCCAGATTAATATTTCTAGGAAACAGTTATAGTAAATTAAGTGTTGGTTAAATAACTTGTTTGTTAAATAACATGGTAATTAAATAACATATTGGTTAACATCATTGTTTGCGCCATTGTTTGTGAATCACTAAAGCTTTGCTTATAGAGCCTAGAATGTGAATGCCTTTTTTTTATTACCTCTGTGTATCCAGTTTGGCCTAACAGTAATAGTCATGTCTTGAAACAAGTACTCATCTGGTTCAAAGGGCTGGAGTATTACCTATTTGCATTTTCCTAATTTACAAAGTGCAAAGTGGTAAGACTTCAGCACAATGAATCGAGAACATCATTAAACTAGTAATAAGGACATGTTTTGTGGTGAAATGTTTAAAGTAAATTAACTATTAGCTCTTTTAGACCTCATGCCATATAAGTCATATTTAGTTTGTAGATTTTTGAAATTTGCTTACATTCACGTACTTGTATATAATTCTAATATCTCAAAGGGACATTTCTTTTTCAGAGGATGTTGAGGAACAGGTCTGTCCTGTTCTTCTCCAGTTGACTGCTGGGGAGAGTAATGATGACTTCAGATCTGAAGCAGTGGCTGTAAGTTTTGTCACCATATTTCCATGAATAGCATAGCTCCATTTTCTGCATATAAACCCACACACAATCCACAATTCCTCCAATCACTCTTATGAAGGGCAAACACTCGAAACATCAGCCTTAAAACTTTTTAAAGTGGTCAATTTACATTTTCAACTGAGTTGATTACACTAAATTACCTTGTTATGCTCTCCCACTGATGCAGCACCACAGTTTCTTTAGAAACTAACTCCCTTTATACATTTATTTTAGACAAGCTGTATGAAGGAAAAGTATTAATTAAGTTTTAAAATTTTTAGTTATAAAAATGTTGTGGATATTTTCCATTTACTCCTAAAACTTCAGGCCTTTCTCTCAGTTGAAATTTTATCTCTTTTACTTTCCTCTCGGATTGTCTTGAGTTAAAACTGCTTTTGTTAAAGATTTCACCTGATAAGAGAATCAAGACAGATTTGAAACATTAGTTAATAGTTTTACATTGTGAAATGTGTCAATAATTTTGTTTGTGTGCATGTGTTTTTTTTGTTTGTTTTTGTTTGCTAATTAGTTGATGAGTAAGATGGCTCCGCTTGTTGGAAGAGACATTACAGAGAGATACTTTTTACCAAGATTTGAACTTCTCTGTTCTGATCCTCTGTTTCATGTCAGAAAGGTATGATGCAAAGAACTGTTGAAAACTTATCATTAGTGACATGCACATTCTGACAGAATAAAGTCCAAATATGAAAAACTTTCATCGCTGGTTCAAGCAATATTGTTGATTCAGTTTTGCATGTGTGGCCCCATCATGAATGGTGTAATAAAGTGATGAATAAATTTGTTAGCAAGTTCAAATACACAATGTCAGTTAAGGTGTAGATAACCTTTGTACTGTTTTTTTGTTTTTTTGTTTTTGTTTTTTTTGTGTGTGTGTTGATCATTACACTATCTTACAGTTTTTAAGTTACCTTTGGTTGACAAGAGAAGTCTCTGTAGGTTTTTCAAACTGTAGCATTGTGTTGCCTAGTTGTTGAACTATCTTTGAAAACGATCAGGATAGCTTCTTGATCAGGAGGTACCGTAACTGTATGGTTAAAAGTATTACGGCAGAGAATCAGAAGACGGCTGCTTTGTGCAAACTGAAAGATTTCATCTAAAGTGGTACACTCGTGCATTAATTTATCTTCTTCTTTTCACCAAAAATTCCTTTCACAAGTGATTTTTCATGTACCTCAGGTTTGTGCATCAAACTTTGGTGAGATGTGCAGTGTTCTTGGACCAGAAGTTACCAATGAAAAAATGGTAAGAAACTGGGTGTATGAAATTTATTTTAAAAGAAAAATTGTGTAGGGAGCTTCAGGTGTAATCATTGACTGAATGTGTGGCTCTTATCACATCCCTAAACTTGTTCTTCATTTTGCAATACTCTTAAAGATGTTTGTTTCCTTCACAGCTTCCAGTCTTCTTCAAACTGTGTCAAGATGGAGTCTGGGGTGTTAGGAAGGTGTGTCTGTCACCAAGTTTATGATCTTGAAGTAAAACTAGTTGCATTATAATCTGTATTTTCTTTTGTTCCAGACACTGCATAGGATAATCATTCTTAGTTGGGGTATTACATATAAAAAGGGTTTGGCCTGTTTTTTCTTTCTCACTTTCTTACTTATAGTATGAAAGGTTCACACTTAGATGTTACATGTACAGCTGTAATCTAACAATGGAGTTAAAATAGATTTTGACATTAAATAAGCTGCTAACATGTGCATTCCTGTTTAAATAAAGGCATGTGCTGAGTGTTACATGAGTGTGTCAAGTGCAAGTCCAGCAGAAACAAGGAAAAGAGAGCTCTCTCAGTTTTTTGTTAGTTTGCTCTGTGACAAGTCAAGATGGGTATGTACATACCATCATGCTGAATGATCAGTATCATTTGTGTAGGATTATTTATTGTTGACTTTATGGTCTAGCTGACTTGCATGCAGTATACGCAGGGTTTTGATACTAAAGTGCTCTTTAGGACGGTTGTATTTAGAAGTCTGAATCATTGCAGTGAAAAAAATCACTGTCCAGGCCTTAAAGTTCTTGTGTTAGAGTAAGATTTTTCATTTAGTTGAAAGCACTGTTTGAGAAGGAGTGCAAAAGGATTAACATTATACACATGCTTTTCAAATGCTTTTCACTTGCCTTTCTCATGCATGTGAAATTTTTACTTTAAAAAAGTGTGAAAAATAACAGAGACTGTGCCTAGAATTTTACTTTTATGAGCACATGAGCACATGCAGATATGCATCTACTTTGGCCTCTTGTCACCCATCATTAGCACACTTCTTCTGAATTAAAAAAAAAAGAAAATCATGATTGATTACTTTTGTTCCAGGTTCAAATGGCAGCATATCAAAGCCTGGGACCATTTATTTCCACATTTGCAGACCCAGCTGATAGTGGTTTTTACATAAATGAGGATGGTATTTTGACGGCTTTACCTGAGAGAGAGCTGGAAACTCCTCCTCCATCCCCAACTAAAACAGAGGGAGAACCAACTTCTAGTGAAACTACAAGTGGGGAATTAAATGAAGAGTAAGAGAACAGAGTACTGACCCTGCAGTTAAAATACTTTGTGTTTGAATAATTAGTGAACTTATGTGTTCATATGCTGACAGGGATGTTCTTTTAATCCATGCAGGAGAATATAAGTAGTCATCATTGGAATCTGCATAATTTTAGTTTGTTTAGTTTGTGTACTTCTCTTGTGTTCATTCATTTATATAACTTATTTATTCATTTTTGTATCTTGATCTTGTACTTGTTGTATATTTAAGAGTCAGGTAATGAACCCCTTCAGGCTTTAATGGTAAAACCTTGGCTCTACTTTACAACAGTCATTCTAGCATGTAATAGCATGATCTGTCCATTGCAGTTCATTTCTGTTGTTCCCTAATCAAATGGAAATCTTCACCTTTGAGTTTAAATAAGCCCATGTAACTTTGAACCACAAAATTCATGCACGGCAGAAGTAACAATATTTAATTTGTTCCAGTGCAACTCTTTTGGGAGAATCCCATGAAGTAAACAGGCATCAAACTGAACGACAAGCATCTCCTGAGGCTGGCACCACAGATTCTGGTTATATTTCACCTCCTGAAATCATATCAAATGATCAGGACCTACAGAAGCAATCACATGCTGCACAAAACAAGGATGTTGTTGCTCAAACCTGTTCAAAAGAACTAAGAAATTGTGACAAGCACATGACAACGGATCTTGATGAGGTTGATGATAAGTACTTTGATTCATTTCTCTATTGGAGGACTCCTTTACCTCAAGTTGAATTAGATGCAGATGATGTAGATGTAGCAACTGTTGAAAATGTTAAAAGTGCAAGTGACAAATTAGACTTGAAACCTGGAACCAATGCACTGCATGAAGGAGAAACAAGTGGTTTGCTGGAGACACAACATCGTAGCAATGCCTTTAACCAACATCATCATCGTCATCCAAAGTTGGCATTTATGCATGGTGATGATGACAGTGATGAGGAAGATGGAATCCCTCTTTATTCTCTTACTGATGACTTTCACATGGATCATGGGCTTGGAAAGTTTGATTATGATGATTACAGGAAGCTCAATTTAACTCATACCTCTTCATTTGATGATGATCTTCTTATTGCTGATCACATAACAGCACCACCTGTTCAGGTACAACTCTTAAAATATTATTTGCATTACTGAACTGATTTGTCTTGTAAATTTTTTTGTGGTTGAAGGTTCAAATTAGTTTTCTTAAATGACCTAATCAATGGAAAATGTGCAACCAAATATTTGAAATGATTACCGTGACAGAAATTTTTGTTAACCCTTCAACTCACAGATCAAATTTGTGATTCTCCTTACTGTCAACCATACAATTCTTATAATGTTAGTTCAGAGAATTTAGTATTGGATCAACTGATTATCCCCAAATTGATATTTTTCTTTTTTCTCGTCACTCATCTGGTTGATATTGTATTGATACTGTAAGGACAAATTCTGTCTTGGTAATTCATGGGAGTTATAGCGTTAAGGGTTAGTAAGGTCTTTCGCCTTTTTCAATATGACAAAGATTATTGTGGTTGCATTTAGTTTGTTTTTTTTTTTAATGCATGAGTGCAGATTGTGTTCAGATTTTTTCATGGGAATAAAGATTCCACTTAAATTTGCTTTTAGTATGTGTAGTTTAGTAGTGTTCAAATGTTATCAGGAAGGCATGGGTTTCAATGCTGCAAAAGCTTTAAATTCTCAGGTTTCTTTGTGGCACTTTTTTTTTGTGAGGAATATATCTTCTCTTTTTTATCATCTACAGGTCAAAATATACTTGTAATTTATTTCATTTAATTTTGATGAATGGCCACAGCTAACCAGGTTATTTCCAATTAATCAATCAGAGTTTAACAGTGTTACTGAAAAATCATGATATGGGCTGCTTTTTTTAGTTTTTTTTTTATTGAACCGGAACAGGGTTAACAGAAACCATCGGTATTAATTGAGGAACATTAGATTTTTTAACTGCTGAGTTTTGGTTCAATTGAAATTACCTTTTTGGTATCTGGTAACAAAGCCACAACAACAAGTTACATTACTCAGGTACCACAGTTCAATTGCCACATTATTCTCTGTCGGTATACTGCTGCGCAGAAGCAAGATTCACAAATGGTGAAAAAGTGCTTCAAAGGGCTTAAAATGACTGGATGTTCATTCCAAAGTGCTCTCTACAAAAGCCATGCATGACAGGATTTTCACCAAGTGAAGTCTTTTGGAGTCTCTAAAAAATAAACCCAGTTAACTATCTTAGCGCAGCCACAACCAATGAAAAGAAATTGTTGCAGTCTAAATTTCTGGACTAAGTTCTACAAGCTGTGTTTATTAATAAATGATTCTCTAACGTTATTTGAGTATTTCACTTCACCCTGCTCTGATGGATTTGTATCGTAAACTCTCTACTGATTGTAATGAAACTGTGTTTTGTTTTAGCATGTTATTCCTCAAACTCTCCTTGATCACTATATATCCATGACTGAACCAGCCAAAGCCCAAACTATTGACACAGAAATAGTACGGCACTGTGCTTTCAGTTTACCTGCAGTGACACTTACTCTGGGACGTAAAAACTGGCCATGCCTTAGAGACACATTTGAAATGCTTATTGCAGATATGCAGGTAGGATCAAAGAAAAATTCTGAGTAATTAGTATTAAATTCCACTATAAATAGGTTGGTTTTTCTTCCTTGTTTTCAAGTCAGCAGTGTAATTGAGGGGTGTTTTTTGCTTGGAATTCTTATCTTAATTCTTAATATGAAATTTGTGTTTTGCAGTGGAAAGTTCGAAGAACATTAGCATTCTCCATCCATGAGCTAGCCTTAGTTCTTGGAAGTGAAATCACTCGCATTGAGTTAGTTCCTACTTTTAACAGTTTTCTCAAGGATTTGGATGAGGTTAGAGATGTTGACAGAATTTTGTACGTCTATTTCCTTGTTGCTTTTCATCTGATGACTCATTTCATGTCACATGAGTTCCACCACATGTACAATGAAGTTTTTAATTCACAGACTTCTGTAGAAATTAAATTCATTTTAAGATATGCCCCAAGTAATTATTTAATTGTTTCAATTTGCCAAGTACATTTTGAAATACCGTATCTGTGTAACTTTTGCATGTACAATGTACTTTTAAATTTGTCTGACTTCTGTAGAAATTAAATTCATTTTAAGATATGCTCCAAATAATTAAAAAAACCGCTTTGATTTGTGAAATGCATTTTCTAAATTTGTTACCCCTATAATTTTTATAGGTGAGAATAGGTGTACTGAAACATTTAGCAGACTTCATCAAGGTAAGAGCACTCTGCATATGGTTAATTGGCTGTTACCCTTTACACCCTAACATCAGTATGCATATTCTCCATACTGTTATCCATCCATTTCCAAAGAGACTGACAGGGAGAATTTGTTTAAAATTCAAGAGTTGCTTTAGTTGGTGATCATCTCCTCCATTCTCATGACTTTCATGTCTGATTCAGGGGTGATATAATAAAGAGAAATTAGATGCTAATCATTCTTAGGGGCTAAAGGGTTAACAAGGTTTCTTATGTGTTTGTTTGTTTGTTTTGTTTTGTTTTGTTTTGTTTTTGTTTTTGTTTTTTCTTATGTAAGAGACAATCCCCCAGCTCTTTCACTCCCAAGTTTTTTTTATCTCATTTCTCTGTACTGTCTGTCATACAGGTACAAACATTTTAGTGCAAGACTTTAGTCTTATATCAAACCATGCCCTTGTTGATATTTTTCTATCTTCTCATCATCTTGACTTCATGAATTTATTAATGATGTGCAGAGAAATTCCTCTCTTGTCACTCCTGGGAACCAAAGGGTTGAGTGTGTATACTGATAAGCTACCCAACAGGACTTCAAGACAACTTGTGTGGATGCTTGGGAGGTACTTATTTTGGTGCATTTAGTGTCTGAGTAAATTCTTATTTCTCTTTTATTGCAGCTTCTTCCATCTGATGTAAGTGGTGACTATCTTCCCATGCTCACAGACTTTCTCACAACAGATAATAACAGAAACTGGCGGTTTCGTTTTGAGCTTGCAGAGTAAGTTTTCATTATTGAACATGTTATAACAATGGCAGAATTCTTAGTTTTTAAAGAAATTGCTTTACAGTATGGACATGTAAGCAAAATAGTGAGTTGAAAATCACCTCATGGATTGTCAAATAACAAACATGCTGACATGTATTTTCCATCAAGCTTCACTCAAGTTCAAATATGTGAACTGTTAGCGAGTGATCAAGTATAGTTTAGCTCTGCATGGCAAGAGATTAGTAAGAAGACAATAGAAAGAACTTGGATGGTTTAACAACAAAAACTGGGATTGGTATCATCAGAGTTTGTTGATGTTCTCAAATGGAGTGGTGTTGTAAACCTTGAACCCCTAACAGTGCTTAGCATCTACCATGTTACCCATGAATCAAACATTAAGGTATAGGAATGAACGAAATGATCAGCTACCAAGGAAGTTTTAGACTGTTAAACAAATTCTTTTTGTCAGCACCTTAGGAAATGCAGAGAGAGCAGTATGGAGAATATGCATACTGATGTTTGGGTGTAAAGGGTTAACATGGTTTGATCTCCTTTCAGGCAACTCATGTCTCTATGTGAAATATATGAACCCAAACAAGTTCTGCAGTATATTTGTCCTATTGCCATCTCACTTGCCACAGACAGAGTGGCGGATGTCAGAACAATAGCATTTAAACTGGTGAGTGTTATACATTCTGGTGTTTAATTTTTGTTCAGATTTTAAATAGTGCTTAAGATAAAATGAGGGCAAAGGTGCTGGCTCAAAAAAGCAGACTAACCAGAGATTTGGCTGGGTACTGAGGAAAATGCATTTATACAAAATGCAATAGGAGTAAACTGCTCAAGCCTGAAAGATTAGTTTTTTGGATGTGGAAAGTTGTGTCTAACATATGTGGTGGTTGTTGTTGATTGTAAAGCTGTTGTACTCTACTCTAATGCTAAATACATGTTGGTAATATTGATTTTGATGGCCTGTTTCAGATTGGCATTTTACTTCAAAGGCTGCATAGCTGCACTGAAGATGGTCCTGCTCATAAGTTTGTTTGTGACATCATCAATAAATTTGCCCACAGCCCACAATGGACCAGGAGACAAGCGTGAGTCTTTTAATGAACACTTCGCATTGTTTGGATCAGTAGACTCTTCAAGCTGATTGCTACTGGAGGCTCAAATATTAGACACTCGTTTTTCTGACCTATTGGGTCTTCCCAACAATGTGCCTGTGTACATTAAAACCACTAGTGCTTGTAGTACACAAGAAAAACACTAATAGAGCAGCCTTTGATGTTAAATTTCTTGTTTTATCACCACAGCTGTTATTCTGTTTTGTATAAGGAGGTGATCAGTGATCTTCTCTTTTTCTCACTTTCATGATGTCTGATTGTACCTCTGACCAAAAAGAAGAGAAAAATAAAATTCAATAGATAAGAAGTTTCTGGAGATATCTAACAATAGGACTCATTTAAAATCTGACTATACATTGAGCATGTTGATGCAGGGTTTTCAAGAAAGATTAATATTTCTTCTACATGCAATGAGCTTTCATTTGAATTTTTGGGCTGAACTGTCCTTTGCATACTTATGTGGTTAGTAGATGGAGAAAAAGTTCCAGACTTAACTTAATATGTTGTCTTTATTTCACAGGTATGCACAACTCTGCCAAAATTTACTGGAAGAAAATGTTGAAACTGGGGAACAGTTCTCCCAAGAGTTTTTACCAAGCTTGTTGTATCTCCTGACTGATCCTGTACCTAATGTGAGACTCAGTTTAGCCAGGACTTTGTCACAGAGTGTTACAGTCTTAGGTATAGTGCATTTGTTGCAAGTAATTTTAATGCATAGCATGTCATCTGAATTGTTTTAGAAGGAACATGCATATTTTTATGATTACCTTTTTTTTTTTTGTGCTCAGTGAAAACAAATTTGTTCAGTTGAGATGACTTAAATTTTCTGGAATTTTGGCAAATGCTGTATCAAGGAGATCCCATTTTAAGTTGACACCCTACACTTTGCAGGCAATAGCCTAAGTTCATGTTCTCCCCCTCCATTTCATTCTAATATGAACCTTGGTCAAGTTGGATTTAATTTTGTATTTAGCATATAGGAACTGCAATGTTCACCATAAAATACATATTCTGGTAATATAATATATAATATTATTGTTATTCTGCCAACCAGAAACTTTGTAATTTCTGAAGTTACTGGTTATGTAGGGAAATAAACCTAACTGTGAAGGCACATACCTATTTATGGTGCTGTTTGCTAAAGTGTTACGTTCTTTTGACAAGATTTTCTTTAGTTTGAGATATTTTACATTTTAGAAGCCAAATATTGAAAATGAAGGGATGTTGCATTTTCAATATTTGTTAGTTGGTGGTAACAGCCTACTAGTACTCTACTTATTTGATACATTTCACTCAATTTGATTGAAATTAATTATATGGAAGGTGATACCTGACTTTCAAAAGTACTGCCACCATTATGGCACAGAAGATTACATTTTACATTGAAATTGTTTTGTGGTGTGCAACAGTTGTGCACATGCATTCCTTTTTTAACAAGTTATAACAGTCATCACTGTCATATGATTTTTTGCAATCTCTCAATTCTTTTCTGTGTGTGTTTTTTGAATTCTTATTATTGTAGAGCTATTCAAAGAAAATGATGCAGAGGGCAAAGAGGCCATTCTTTCTGCTCTGCAGAGGCTTCAATATGATCCAGACAGGGATGTTAGGTACTTTGCTGGGGTGGAGGAAGATGCATTAGATCTTACATATGAGGGTCAAATGACAAGTTTGGACAGTGCTCATGATGATTTACAAGAAGTTTCCTATGCCCTTGAAGAAGATTGCGAACTTGAAAATCTTATACCCAATGATGAAGGGGAAAGCAGAGCCAATGAAGTTGTTACCATAAATGAAGAAAATAAAACTGAAACTTTTAACAACACTGAACTGTTGGAGGACTTTCATCAGACAATGTTAGAAGAGTCGTCATCCTCTGCAACTGTATTTGGTACAAATTTGGAAAGTACAGCATTTGAATTTGAAGAAGATGAAAGGAGGTTAGATTTACAATCTCAAGATCTCACAAATACAGGCAACACATCTGAAGAACTTGATAAGGATGTGAAATGTGGTGAGGAAAGGGAACCACAGTGCTCTATTGAGGTACTAATCATCAAGGTTGTTAAAGCCAAGTGGTGTTGTTGACAATGTATAAATGTTTGTATTTAATTTTGTCTCATCCAGTGCTTTAAGTGGATACTGGCAAGATACATTTTATACCATGAAATTTAAATTTTTTGTTAAATCCACATGATCCCATAATCTGCTTGTCTCTCAGCAGTGCAATTTATTTCTGTATTTTGCCAACTTTTTGCTTTAAATTGAAGCTAATGAGAAATTAACATTAAAAAAATCAGATTTTAAGGCTTTAAGGAAGTAACCAATCAAATTGCAGGACAAGAATAGTTAAAGAAGCAATTGTGTGGCAAATTTTGTCTTGTCCCTAAATTTTTTTTTAACCAAAAAAGTGGAGGAATCTACTTCCTTGTAGTATTTGAATAAGGACAATGAGGTATTTATACTGACTGATATGTTGTATTTGGGTGATTAAATTTTGCTATTTCAAAGCAATGTAATTAATTGTAAATTAAGTTTGTGCATCATGCTCTTTGATTTCGAAATCATGTTTATGATTTCAGAAAAAAAAATACATTCCACTTACTTCAATTACCATTAAAAATGACCACACCAAGAGGTAAACAATGTTTATCCTTAATTATTTCTGTGCTAAACTTAAGTTCTCTGTTCTTTGACTTGCAGGAGTTGATTGATTCATCAGATCCAACAGAAGAAGCAGAAGGCAAAGGGCTTTGACATAACACGAAAGATGGCAATTATACATTTTCTAAAATATTTTGCATAGCAATGAAAATTACACACGCAAGTGTGTGTTTGAATTATCGGAAATCTTCCTGGTTGCTTTGTTTTAAGTGAACATGTAATTGAGCAACAAGCAAATGAGTGGTTTCCAAGGAGTTATTTTTTAATATTAATCACTAGGGTAGGTGTTAATTTATGGAAATGAGTGCAGGTAATAAATAATTATGCAATGTTGATGAAAACTGCATTCGTAATGAATTCCTTAATGTATTGTACATACAATGGATTGAAATAGTCTTCTGGGTTAAGATTTTCAGTGAAGCCTGTTGATGTGTCTCACAGAAGATTTTTCCGAATTTTTAGATATGTTGCTTTAGATGTTCTTCTTTTGTTGTTGTTTCTCACCATTCCAGGCTGAATGTATATTCTATGACTGAACTTAATAAATTCTTGTATCTTAAGCCAAGTTTATTTTACAGTTATCATGCAATTCATATTTCAGTAGCCAAAAAAAACTCCTGATTTGTGAAACATGTTCTCTTATTTCCAGGCTGACCAAGTTGTTTACATAGCTCTTTTAGGTAGATTGGAAAAAATGTTTTTAAGTCCATGTCAAATCCTATGAAAGCACACTGTTCTTTTTCAGAAATGAACCTAAGCAAAAAAACAAAAAAAGAAAAGGAAATCTAGTAGCAACTGTGTACAACTCCCCTAAGTGTCACATTGGATATTAAAAGAGGAAAGTTTAGATGTCCATTTTGTCAACTTAAAAGTCGGTTAAGGGGTAAAAATTATGAAATATCTTAACCTTTCAAAGTTTTGCTCATTGACATCGGAATTGCCTGTCCAAGGTACTCAATCTTTGCTAGCATTTCAGCCTCAGGAATTCAATATGGCTTGAGCTGGTCTTATCATATTTTGCTGCAAATTAGGAATTTTACCCTATTAAACAATGCAATTTCTTTATTTTGTGTGGCCACTATAGAGTAAAATCCCTAAATCATGGAAGAAGCTTTGAAGTTTTCATTCATTGTTGTTTTTTTTTTACACACATGAGGAGGAATGTAAAATTCTGAAATCTGATCCTTACAACTTTTTTATAGCTGTACTCAGATGCTAATCAAGCCAGACCTAACAAGAAAAGTCAAGGGGTTGTTAATGAAACATTGACAAGCTTTCTTATCCTTAATTTTTATTATTCTGCATTGAACAACCTTTAATTAAGCCCTAAGAATGATTGGCATCAATTTATGGCCATGAGAATTAAGGAACTGATCACCATGTAAAATCACCTGATCTTCACAAACTCTCATTATTGTCATTGTAGGACTATCTACGGAGACCATTAGGGAGTGTTGATATGATGAAAAAGGGGCTCCAAGGATGACAAGAACCGTTATGAATTTAACTGTAGCAAACTTGGGATTAGTGTTGCGACGGTGGCAAACAACCAGGCCTTGTTTTTTTAAAGGGTGGATAACGCCATCCACCAGATAAATTGTTTCATTCTGGGTAGCGCAGTATGTTTTGGTAAGATTAATCTATGTGATAGTGATTTTTCTGTCGGATAGTGCTATCTGCCCTTTGAACAACTGGGCCTAGGTCAAATATTGATTGAAGTAATGACATACAAAAAAAACTGATGACTTGAATTTCTAGACAAGGCTAGTTGTGGTGGTGATATGAAGTGGCTATGTTGTACTTTCTGGTCAATTTTGCATCAGGGGTAGCTCCTTTTCTAATGCAAGGTTTAGCAGTTGACATTTTTTTTACAATTAATGACCAAGTTTTTGCCCTTGGGATAAATAGTAATGTCATTTGATACTGAGTCTTTTGTTGTTAGAGGACAGCTACAGCACTGAGTGGTCAGTGACTTTCAAAATTGAGAGCAGAATAATCTGTGTAAGGGTTGCTCTACAGGAACAGGAGTCCCAATCTGTCACTTGCACCTGGCTAGACTGAGTGTCCTACACAAGTTCATGCAGAAATTTCTATCCTCAGAAAGGAATTATAAGTTTATCTTGGAGTTCATTCATTGAGTTTTTATACCTGAGCACTGTATACCTAATTCATTTCCAGTTTACATCCTAAAGTAGAGACTATAAAAGTTAAAACTTTAAGAATTTAATTTTTATAACTGCAGATTTAATACTTATGTTATTTTTGGACTGAATATTCGAACTGAAGAATTATTATAATAAACAAGAAATTCTCCAAGTATATAATTCTTACATAAATATTTCATGTTTACAGCATTATTGAAAGAAAACTTTCTTTTTGGTATTGGGACAACCAATTTAATTACAATATGGCCAAGTTATGTTAGATTGATTTGGTTGCTGAATGAAGTTATATTGTTTAGACTGTTTATATTGAGTATGTGTAACTGATTAAAATGAGAAACCAGTTTTATAGTTTTCAATAATTGTTCTATTGATCAGCTCTCTCCCCTAACAGTTCTTCGTCTCACAACTCCTATGTAACAGACAATTGGACTAGGCAACCAAAGGTTTTGTAAACTTCACGACGCAAATCACAGTGACAACCTGTGGATTATCTCTTTCAATCTTTGAAACTCTTAGAGTGACCAACATTTAGTTTCTCCTTACTATATTTCTGTTGAATAATTCAGTGAGATAATGAGAATATAGGAATGACTGCCAACCTAAGAAGCTTTGATTGTTAAACAAATTCTCTTCATCAGTACCAAATCAAATCTGTAGAGAGGAGTGTGCAGGAAATAGATACTGATGTTAGTGCATCATGAAGGGTTAATTAAAGGATCTGAGTTGAAGGAAGACCCAGGATGGTTAAGGAAAATTGTTTCTTTAGAAAGCACAAATGGCTCAGATGTTTTATGCAAGCCCAATTATCAGGTGTTCAAGAAATTGTCAGAAAATGCTTTGCAAATTGCTCTGTATATTGTGTGTAGAAAAGAAATTAAAAAGATGTGGTTACCTGAGTTTTTGTCTTTTGTCAACTTGATGTCCGAGTTTTAGAAGGCCATTTCAGAGCTACTCACCATCAATCACCTTACATGTAACCTTCATTAACAGCAGGATCTCACATAGATTGTGTTTTTTATAGCTTAACAGAAACCTGCTACGTCAAGAAACGTCTAGCAGCCACATCCATAAAATTTCTCTTCAGAGCAATGGCTTAGTAGGAACTTGCTACGTTAGGAAACGTCTAACAGCCATATCCATAAAATTTCTTTTCAGAGCAATTTTTGAAGGATTTGCATACAGTCTCCTTGGACCGAAATTGAGGTTCGCCCTGTTTGTGGCTATTTGTGAAAGCAGAAGACTTTCTACAGTGGAAGAGGATACAGATAATCTAATAGGGCAAATAAATTCGCCACTGTAACTTGTCGCTCAAATTGACATAGCTTAGTCTGATATCGATGCCAGAAGATATAGAACCTCCTTCGTTACTGTACTGTTTGGATTGAGTATTGTGACACAAACTTGTGTGACCGAATAGATACGTAATTCTTATTTTTGGTGGCATCTAAAGAAATCCCAGCAACTGACAAGAAGGCACACACTGCCACCTGACAATGAATAGTGTCACAATTTGACTGTTCCTCAAGAAGTAGGAAAGATTTTCGTGTAATCCCATACTGCTACTGAAACGAAGCTGTGATACCAAAGGCAAAATGCGATTTATTATTTTCGCCACAGTTTTCTTCATCAATAAAACGTGTGCTTATTAAATGATCATGAAAGCATGGAGATGTATGGAAATCTTTCTAGATACACCCTATTTTGCTAATCAGTCAAGAAAATTATTTATCTTTCTTCGTAGCAGCATCCACTCAATAGAAATCTGTTCATTTATGACTGGGGAAATAAATTGTAGTCTTGATATGCCAAAGGAAAGTAAACGACCAAGCCGTTTAAAGCACTTCGTCTCAATGACTTTGATAAGGTAGACTGTTAGCTTTCCAAGCAAATATATAAGGTCTAGTGAGTGGCTTTTCCTCCTTTTTCGGTCTTCTTTGGCAACAGCACCGCTTGAATGTTCGGTAACACACCTCCCTGGGCGATGGTGACACCGGCGAGCAACTTGTTCAGTTCTTCGTCGTTGCGTACAGCAAGCTGAAGATGGCGTGGGATTATTCTAGACTTCTTGTTATCTCTAGCTGCATTTCCGGCGAGTTCCAGTATTTCAGCTGAAAGGTATTCCAAAACAGCGGCCATGTAAACTGGGGCACCTGCGCCAACACGTTCAGCGTAATTTCCCTTCCTCAACAAACGATGAATTCTGCCGACTGGAAACTGTAAACCCGCTCGGGAAGAACGTGATTTCGATTTAGTACCCTTAGCTTTACCTTTCCCTCGTCCAGACATGATTTACCGTATATCTTTTCTATTGGAAGTAAAGAACACTTGATATATAAGGAGATATCATCAGGTAATGGAGCAAATCAAGTACAAGAATGTTTACATTCTATTTGACGAATCGAAAGTTCCATTGTTCGTCCAATCACATCGCGAGAAGTATAAACGGAAGTCTAAGGAACCATTGGTGTATTTCCTGTTTCCTTAGCCCAAAAAAACAAAAACATTTTTAACTCTGTACGATTTCAAGAGTCTTTCCTGTGTAAGAAAGAAGAAAAAATCGGAAAAATATCACCAAAAAATTACTAAACGTTGTCATATTGCTGATGAAGGCTAGAATGAAATTAAGCTAACACCATAACAAAGCGACCTATGTATAGTAAGCCGGCCGAGATTCTAAACGGAAATGTGTTCAGGAGAGGATTTCATAAAACTCCATACATAAGCCAAATAAATCCGGCCAGAGTTTTCTTTTTACAAGGCACGTAATCTTCTTCAGCATAACGTTTCAGTAACCGATCGCCAAATTTCATTCATCCAATTATTCGTAACTCACAAAGGCTTAAAAAAACGGTGAAATGATCTTATTTTCCTGATTAAATTATTTTTTCAGGCCGCGCTAAATTCGAGGATTATTTGATAAACGACCTCGAACATTTGACCTTTATCGTAAACCACATTTTTACTTTTTATTTATTTTTTTTCGTGGAAAGCAAATCGTTCAGCCGGAGTAGGAATCGTTAAAAGACACTGACGATACTTGAGGTAAAAGAAAGTTATATGCGAAACCAGGATTGAAACCTGCTGAATCACACTTTGGTCGAACCTCCTTTGAAAACCACGGTGTCGAACTGCCAGTCAGAAAAATTGAGAAAATAAATTTTGTACCTGCTTTCGAATTTCAGGTACGGTTTTATCTTTTATGCTGGTGGGAAATTATTTGAATTTAGGGTTTATTGGGGTGACCTTCAATGCTAATTCAGCCGGCTAATTCAGTTACAGCTTTATCTTTCAACAGAACATACACATACATAACATTCATTTATCAGGAAAGTTTTCCCACGCGAGTAAAACGTGCCTCGACATAAAGCTGTCGCAGTTTCAAAATCGTGGCCTGGAGACGTGGCAAGAGCTTTCGCCTCGCGTCTTCAGTGATAAAACTTTTTGTTCTCTCTGAGCCAATAGGAACTAGGAGGTAGAAGTCTTATCCAATCAGGAATAAATAATTAATGAGAGCTATCAGCCGTTTTTTTCATTGACGGCTCCTTTAAAACAATACATCCACCGTCCAATGATATTTCCCGCTCAATGGTAGCTTTGCACCTGTTGAGGAGCTGTCAATTCGCATAAAGAACAAGTTGCCACTGTGAATTTTCGATCGTTTTGGTAATTTACCTGGGCTGAGCCCATAACAACAGGACAGGGAGAAAGGTTGAAAATGTCGAAGAGAAAACTAGAAGAAGAAGATTCATTGAGTACAGCTAGTTCTGATAGCGCCGACAGTTTGGGAAATGTTGAGGAATATCAGAGTGCGAAACGGAATCGACGTGTCCGTTTCAGCGAGAGAACAGTATTCCACTTTCCTCGTACACAAGGTTATACGTGTGTGCCTTCGAATGGTGGAACAACGCTTGGGATGAAACATAAACACAGCTTTGTCGAAAGAACTTTAATATCCGAAGAAGATCAGAGCGAAAGCGATACGGAAGATTCATATGATAGCGTGGACAGCGACGATGAACACTGTTTTATGCCAATTCCACAAAAGGATCGCAAAGACATTTTGAAAGCGGCCGGCGTAAAGAAAATCAACAAACAAGAGGCTATTGAGTGTATGCAAATTAGGTATTCTCGGCAGCTTTGTGGATGTTCGTGTAAAGACTTCTGCGAGCCTGACTCATGTAGCTGTCGTTTAAACGGAATAAATTGTCAAGTCGATCGAGATAGTTTTCCGTGTGGCTGTAGCCGTGAAGGATGCCAGAACCCTCACGGACGTCATGAGTATGACCCGATTACGGTACGCCGTCATTTTATTGAAACAGTTTGGAAACTTCGAGGAGAGAAATATCTCTGGCGTGAATCGACACCCGATCAAGAACGAGATTCGAATGATTTGCAAGCTTCAAGACAAGTAATGGGTTTTACTTCCGTTTCATAGCTCAAAACATACGTTATTTTTACGTCGTTTGTGTTGTACACTGTACATCAAAAGGATAAGAAAAAAAGCGAAAGGTTTCTAACGAACATTAAATATCGGAGCCATGACTCCTAGAGTGTGATTTATTGAAATTTGAAATGTGTAATATCTTTGAGGGGGTGCGAAATCTGCACGAAATAAAATTATATTTTGTATGAAAAGATCGAGACTCTTCGTTAAAATTCTCCATTGTGTTGTAGTGTGGCAGCTAGCTAAATGCCCATATCGCAACAAGAAGACCGGTAATGTGTCAGCCTTTGATTACTAAAGTGTTATCTTTTGCAGTTTTAAGCTAAAGACGGAAAGTTAATTAAAGATATTTTCCATTTGAGAATCTGCCGACTCGCAGGAAATATTGATATGCCGTGAATGCCAGAGTCTATTTAAGAACTAGTGTGAAAATCGATTCAATATTTAAAATGACATGTTCGCTATTTTTTATTAAGTTATATTACTATTGTTTCTTTTGCTTTTGATTTTTTTTTTCGCGGAACATCGATATTTAAAACATGAAAGGATTCAGCGATTTACAATTTACAACAAATATGGAGCATGAAATTTTGCGGGAGTTAATTTAGTGAATTGGCGGTGTGAATGTCAGCATTTGTGTGTTTTACGAGAACAAATTCTTACCGATTGAAATCTTAGAAATTTTGCATGGAAACAATTTTTTCCGATTTCCCGGTTCTTGCAGCAAAACATCGGCAAGGAAAAAAATAAAACTTTTCAAATATGTAACTTTTGAACCTCAAGTTATACAGAGAGGAGCTATGCAACGTAAATGATTTGCAGAAGGATTTTCGAGTGATTTCTAATACAAAGTACCCGTTTTGACGCTTGGTCCATAAACGGAGTTTCCATTCATTCATTCATTCATTCTTTGCCTTTTCTCTCAATTTTTGCGGGTCGAAACTTTTCTCAAAATCCTCAAATCTTAAAATTCGAGAGATTTTTCCGCTGTACGATATTTTACGAGGACCCCTTTAAAATAGTGATCCATTCACGGCTCATAGACACATCAACACATCAAAGCCGTTAGTTCAGTGGCTGACTTTATTTACTATTATTCTTAATTTGCAATGTTTTTTTTTCTCGTTATTTTTTGTGCATAACACTGCTATTCCTCCAAGATGTAGGGAAATTATTTAATATCTTAATGATATTTCACAAGGCTCCGGTTGGCTCAAGAAACCGTAAAAAGGTCTTTCACATTGAAGGGCAAATTGTAAGTCAAACAGTCCTGGCAAAGTTGGTTTCGAAAAGAACAGCGCTTATGTGCAAGCCTCGATCACGAGTTGTGTTGGTTAACATAAAGAGAGAGCAGCTTAACCTGTCATTGGCCCTCCGTCAATGGAAGCCAGCAAAATAGCGGGCTAACGACATACAGCGAGTGCAGTTGTCAAGGAAACAGCTGGGTGATTTTTCGCTCTACCTTCCATCCCCGGTAGAATTCAACCGAGTTGTCCAGTCTCTTTCAGGATCCCAGTCCATCCTCCATCAGCTATTGTTTGGTCACAAAGTACATCAAGAGCAGACCTTTTTTCAGGTTTAATGGTGTAAACACCGCCTATTGTTTTACCAGCTTTGTAAAGGTTCCAAATGTTTGGCGATCTACCCGAACAAGACAATCAATCAAAGTGTATCTCTCTTTACAAGGGCATCACTTCAAGTTCATTAATTAAAAGTCATACATTTCTAATTAACATCTCTGCTTACTCATACAGATGTAAGAGCTGACAGTGTTGATACCGAGTAAGCGCCGGCATTCTCGTAACAGTCGTGAGTACCGGCGGTGCACTCATCGATATCCAGGAAAAAAAAAAGGTGGTTAGCTCTGTTTGAAGAGATGTAACTCGAAATTGGACTGCATACATTAATGGCTACAAACAGAGAGAATAGAAACACAAAAGAAAATGAAGATACGATGAAAAAGCAAATCAGTCAAGTGTTTGGACAAAAACCTTCCATTCCCATGTCGCAATAAACCAACACGGCCTTCTCAGATCCACCTAGATCCAACCAGTATTGTTTGCTGATGACGGCTTTGCTTTCACTCGCTATTATTTCCTGACACGACACAGCAGGCAGTTCTGGAATAGATCCCAGAGAAGCTGTGATAGAAAAGAGAGAAAATGTTACAAGCCTTAGCTATTAATTTTTCTAGTTATACAGAACTGTGATAGCAGCTTTCACTTAAAGCACATTACGTACCTCTGCCAAAGATACCTACTTGGTAAAACCGAGTAGAGTCTGCGAGGAAATTCACAGGGTTTGCCTTTTTGGTTCGGTTATTCAGTTCACAAAACTTTTCTCCGATTACGTCATTATAACTCTGGCACCTGGTCTTTCGTTCACAGCTGATGTCACACTCATGGATGGCTGTAACTGAGAACTTCTTGATGAAAAATCCCTGCAGAGCCATTCCACCTACACTCGTTTCTTGTCTGCATTGTGTGTCAGCAGATACCGCGATGGCTATCAAGAGGCCAACGAGGGACAGAGAACCAACACACCGTCCACCACATGTCATCACTTAACTGAAAAACATCCATGACATAAAACAAACGAAAAAACTAAACAATCTCTTCAATTTTCCGTGATGTAGCTTATTCCATGGGCTAAAGTTTAAAATGGGGCTCTCCTAGTTTTATACAAGTTACTTTGTTAAACTTCAATGCAAATGGACGAAAGATAATCGAGCAGCGGAAGATTAAGACGATAATTGTTAGCGAGTCGAACTCTTCAACAAAGCTGTAAATAATTAACGTAAGTAAGTAACAGAGGAAAAAAGAAACACAGTAAGAAAATAATTCCTTTTATAATAGAAAAGAAACCGATGATTCCCTCCAATAGTTGTTTACAAGAGAATTTCAACTCTTGCTTTTTACCTGTGTTTAAACAAGAAATTTCATGTTAAGCTGATCCCTCTTAAACTTTTCAGTGATTATTAACTATGAGCTAATATTTACCTCAACGGTGGCATTTTTCCAGCTTGAGTAGCTGAATTATACTACTGAAGTATTTTTCCCATTACTCAGCTGTGAAATTGCCAAAAAAAAAAACGTAGAACCCTGAGATACGCGGCAATAACAAGAGGATAATTGCACGTAGGTTTTTTATCATCGAAACACTGAGCTAATCAATGTTATACGCATTCTGGTAGCCAATTAAAGGTCGATGTAAAAAAAATGTTACGAAAAAAAATTGTTATAACAAACTGAGGTAAGAAATTGCTTCGTGACCTACTGATAAACATTGCTGAGAAAAGTTTCACTGCTTTGAGAAGTAGTGAAGAACAATTCTCAGTATAGATCGACTTCATTTACTCTCCATAACAGGAGACACCGAAAACTCACTCATTTTTTTTTTGGCTCATCGTGGTCGTTTAATGTGGAGAAAAGTGTGTCTGTTTTTCTCCGTTGGCCTCTTGATGGCCATCGTATCCGCAGATGGACAATGCAGAAAGGAAACGAGTATAAGCGGAATGGCTCTGGAAGGATTCGTCTTCAAGAAGTTCTCAGTAACAGCCATCCACGAGTGTGACATCAGCTGTGAGAGAGAAATCAGATGCCAGAGTTACAATTACGTAATCGGAGAAAAGCACTGTGAACTGAATAACCGGACCAAAGAGGCAAGGCCTGAGAATTTCCAACCAGACCCTGCTCGGTTTTACCGCGTACGTTTAGTCGACAGAGGTATGCATTAGATATCATAGCTATTCTCGGTAGAGTCTGAGTTGTGTGCAGTCGAAGTTATAGTAAGCAAGAGAAGCTATGGTTAATTAATGCTTGTACTGTTTTATCTACTTTCTATAACAGCTCCTTTGGGATCCAGTCCAGAAGTGTCTGCAGTGTCATGTCGGGAAATAAAAGCGAGTGAAGGAAAAAATGTTATTAGCAAGAAATATTGGTTGGATTTAAATGGATCTGGACAGGCAGTTTTGGTTTATTGCGACATGGAAATTGAAGGTTTTCATTCACAACTGGATTATTCATTACTCTTTAATTTGAAACAGGTTTTTTGTGATCTGTGTTTTTATTTTATAAGGTTTCGTTCCTTATCATCTGAGCTTGTTCCTTGAAAAACCCATTCACTTAACGTGCCCTAACAGCTGATTTTCCTTCATCGTTAGTTACCCAGCATCGAGAAACTAAAATTCAAACAATTTAAGATACAAGGAGAGGAAAAAGGATAAATTAAATCTCGCACTTTTTTCCCCTTAAAATTGTCAGAAATTAAAACAGGGATTTTAAAATGTCACGACAGTGAAGTTTCAGAAAACGGTGAGTTAAAAATATAAACGTGGCTTAATTGCTGTGGAAGTTTCCCGGCCGCTCTAAGAGTGCATAGAACATGGTCTTTGTTTTTCATAGAAACGCTAAGAAGTGACAAAGTTTTGAAAGAAATGGTACAGAGTTTTAAAAGTACGTGCTGAGCTATTGTTGGGTTCAATAGGAAGACTCCTTAATGTTTTTCCTCAATGTTGGCACGCGCGCCAGCGTATTGTTTTTCTAGAAAATTTTAGTGTTTCGCTTTTCAAGGTCACTATACGCTATCAAAAGGCGATGAGCAAGGTTCAGACTATCATTTGTTGTAGTAAATATTAACAAAATGATTTCCGTTACAAGGCTCCACAAATGGAGGCGCCCCCCAGTGATAATTTGGCTTTGCCTTCGATTTTCTTAAATTTGCTGCGGTGAAATCGCTCGAAATTTTCACAGTTTGTGAAATTTGTCCTGCCGATCATTTAAAAGCTGAAAAAGAAATAGGGGTTACAAAGGAAGTTTCCTCGCCATTTGCAATTTTGTGTTTTCTTCCTCCATCTCAAATTTGGTCTTATGAATTTTTTTCATCCTCAGGGACTAGGAAGGGCGCGAATATGTTTAACGGTCCAGCAAATCTTTGGAAATTCCAACTATGGAAACGCGATCAATCTTGCTCGAAAGATCCCTATTTTCTTTGTCGCAAAACATTACGTAATGGACTAAGACTTCGCCAAGATCTATATCTGAGCATGCGTAAACTTTCGAAGCTGTCCTATTAGCAATCTTTCCCACGGTGTTTTCTTTTCGGTTGACCTCTTTTTCAGGCGCAGAAGGCCTATGAATATTACGGGTGCAGTTGCCGGAAACTCTAGATTCCATTACAGAAAAACTGCATTGAGTTAAAGTGTCCTAGCACATCTTTTCAGATAATAATCGTCCGATCGTATCGAGCCTCCATGTTTTTTTTTGCATGTTGACACTTTTAAAGCTCGCGCCATGTTCGCACCCAAATCTTGGGCAGTCAAAAAATCCAATAGAGCCTATTTAAATCTTTTGTTTCGCTAATTTCTTGTTGCCATCTCCGTCGTATCTTTCTTTAAATAGCCCCTACCGCAACACTGGACATTTTCAGTCATCGAACATTCGAGAAATAGGACTCTGATCATCGATTAGTGAACCTTCCACCGGCTTCCTTTGTTGAAAGCTTCAAACTTTCTAGCGGACAAAAAAATTAGCGCGTGTGCCGCGGAGGTGTTGAGATTTTAGGGGTATCATCTCATTTAGAAGGAAAGCTGATAAAAGCTGCTAGATGTAAAAAGTAAATCCGTCTTCGTGGCTATTGTTAAAATTCCTCTCCTTGGGTCAGCTTAACTCAGTGTAAACTGTACAGCCTTAACTTTATGCCGTATTTTCTTTTTGTTGTTGTCATATTCTTTAGAAAAAGCCGTCGACCTTGCTTTTGTAATTGGTGCGTCTGGAGCTCAAGCTACTTCAGTCTTTGCAAGAATGGTAACCATCTTGAAGAACTTTGTTGATGAATATGCAGTATCTGAGGACAAAACTCGTGTTGCTCTGGTGGACTACAATGGTCCTGCGATTGCCAAGGTCTTCTTCAATGATGACTACAACAAAGCCAACTTTACGAGTTTTGTAGGCAGCATACCTGGCCCTGGGGGCCAACCAGGCACACTAAGCGGTGCATTTACAAAAGTACGAGATGAGGTTTTCACAACTCAAAAAGGCGAGCGGCCATTTGCGGAGAATATTCTTGTTGTGCTGACCCAGGGAAACTTTGATGAGAATTCTTCTGAGATCAGGAACGAGATCACTAATTTTAGAAGCAATGCAGTGAAGATCATTGTATTTGCCATCACGGAGGAGGCGGGCATAGACAAGTGGAAGAAGATCTCCTCGGGGATCAACCTCATAGTTACACCCGAGCCAAGTAAAGACATAGAGGAGGCAAAGAAACTGCCACATGCTGCGAGTAAAGGTGGGTCAGTCTGTTTTTAAAAGAGTCCGTTTTAGTCTCAAAGAAACAAAACGAGGCGGGATATTTTTGCCAACATCAGCAGTTTTCGTTTTAATCCCATCTGTCCACTCGTCTGCGTCTTCATCCGAAATGCATACGATTCGGTGCGTTTTTTACCCGTTTTTCATATTAAAACGCTCGCCAACTCGGATGGAAGCGACTGTATGGGACACTTTCTCGACATTGTTTTCTTTTAGCTGTTTTTCGTTTGAGTTGATTTTAGGATTGTAGTATACGTAGCAACCTAAGCAATTTTGAATTTGATTTTGATATCAATTCTAACAGAGTTTCGCAGCTGCGTAGAGGTGAAAGCATTCGGGTACTTTTCTGACGGCCATTACCTCCTTCACGTAAGCGACGGCTGTAAAGACCCAACTAGAATTTACTGTCATAATATGGCATCTAGCACGCCGCAAGAGTTCATCACCCTGGAGTCTGGTACTGAGAACAACTTTGCTATTGTGTATGCCCAGAGGCTCCAATATCCTAGTGGCGGCTGCAGTGGGGCTTTGCAATCAACATTGTACGAAGATCGAGGTACTACTTACTTCAGCAAAGTGCGCCTTGATATAACAACCATGAAAATTCTAAGCAATGTTTTCACATTTGCGCAGACGCAGGAGGGTAAAGACATCTCATATGGCAAAGCTGGGGATTGTTATTCGTCTTCTAACTCTAGTGTCTGCCGTAAGGGTCAGTTTAAGGTTGACTTGAGAGGGACGAGACTTCACGTTCGGGACGATGTGACCTGGAAAGTATTGGTATACCCGACTAGTTTGACGATGCAGGACTACCAGAAGTCGCATGATGGTGCAGTGGTGTCTGCCAAGTGTGGAGGTTGGTGTGGTACATGTGAGCCGTCAGGTGGATTTATCATACTGGAGCCTCTGTGTTCCATTCCTGCTGGTAGGTATAAATCATGTTTGTCTTAGTTACCCCTGGAATAGCTTTCATAACACAACTGGCCATGAAATTAATAAAAAGATTTCGTGTTGCGGTGGGTCCGTTCAGTTACAGATCACAGATGACGTCAAAATGTGGTAAGAATAAAAACGTGATACTCGAGGTGTGGTCTGTGATCTCTTACTGTACTGACCCACGGCGATGGTCACGTCGTCTATGCGTCTGTCCTCCAACAGAGGACAAAATGCGAGTAGGATTCAGTTTATCGTATAAATTTCAATATTGTTATAACTTCCTTGTTCCACGAACTGACACTTCCCCCCCCCCCCAATACCTCTCGGCAATTTGGGGAAACACGAGGTTCCTAAGCAGTGGAAGAGCGTCTAATCTCTTCATAAAGCCCCTGAAGTAACTAGGGGGCTGCTCATTTCAAAGTAATCAGGCTGCTTTTCTTCGAAACAAACTTTTAAGTTTGTTCAAAACTCTTTTTACTTGCTGCCCTGTCTGCCTTTTCGTTTGTAGCGATTGGACGAAGGGCTAACGCTCGAAACGTCAGCCTTTTAACTTTTTGCGGTGGCGAATTTACGATATCAACTCAGTTGATGATACCAGATTACTCTGGTATACTCTCCCACCAACGCAGCACCACAGTTTCTTTAGAAACTCACCCCCTTTATTCATTTGTCTGTGCAATTGTCTATCGGTCTGTTTGTCTGTCTATTTGAATGCCTTTCGGAGGCCAATTTACACTATCAACTCAGCAGGTAAAACCAAGTAAAATTATTCTTACATGTCTGCCTTCTTGCAGTTTTGTTTGCCTGCAATTCTGTGTCAGGAATCCAATATTTAAATGCCAGTGGATGTAAATATCTAAAATTGTAATTTGCTGAGATAAAGTGAAAGTCTTAATATAACTTATCACTACACAGGTTCCTTACTGGCTGTGAATGAAGACTGATGCCTTCAGGTGCGCGATTCTGGAACTGACAGAATTAGTAACTGCATTTCAACAGGGTCGGAAAGGCCATCTAATTGATCCTCACCAAAAAAAAAAGTAGTTCACTTATAATGACCAGGACTGAAGGAGGTCACTCTACCGATACGGATTACTATAAACTACAGTTTCACACTCATAACCTAGAACTTGATTTTATTTCTACTACCATGGTATGTAAACACAAGTGTTCACTTAATAGTCTATAAATTTATATTTAGAACAAAGACAGATGGGAATACTATTCCAAACCCCTACATCCAGTCTTGAAAAAGAAGTTTTCATTGCATGCTCTGTTCTCGCATGTTTAAGATAAAGATTACTAGTCACTGAGGACCTTGTAGAATAGTGGTGTTTTCCTGGAGAATAACTAAATATTTCTTAAATGTAAGTAGGTGTTAGATCGTTGACGAAATTATGCATTAAAGAACAGATTGTTTTAAAATAGATAAGATGAAGAGGAAGAATGTTTGACAAGTTGAACAAAGGTACCGCATGAGATCTAAAGGGTTTGAAAAACATCGCGCGGAGAGCACGTTTTTACGAAACCAAAACCATCTCCAAATTTGTTTAGGCAGCTCGGCCCCAGACTCACGCGGCAACCCCATAAGACAAGTGAGATTGAATAAGAGATTGATATATGTTAAGCAATACAGTTTGTAAGACAAAACGTCTCAATCTTGATAATATGCGTAAAGACTTGCTAATTTTCGATGAAATAAATGCAATGTGTTGATTCCAGGGTGATTTGAATCGATAAGGACACCAAGGTATTTTACGTATTCTCTCCGTTCCAGAGAGACAATAGAATTGGTGCTTTAGTCAAAGACATTTATGTTCACTTCATAATCAACACGTTTTTGATACGATCTAAACAAAACAAAAAGTGAGATTTTTTTAATTTAAGAGATAACGTATTTACCATCAGCCATTTTCTCACATTCTTCACTCCTCGTGAATGGTTACTTCGAGGGATCTCAAACTCTTATCAGCATAAAGCAAGTTGGTGTTATCAGCAAGTAAGAAAGAGATGTCATTCATGTACAGCAAGAACAGTAAAGGTCCTAAGCTGGACTGATCCTTGTGGCACACAATAGAGACAACACTCTATCTAAGATACGTAGGTGCCGACTTGAATAGTTTGATGTCGATCATTTAGATAAAAGGAAAACCAGATATTTACTACTCCACGGATTCCGTAACGTGCGAGTTTTTGCAATAAGATTGACTATGTCTAATGCGTTCTTGAGATCAATAAAAATGCTACACGAGAATAACCTCCATCAATATTGTGCTGGATTCTGTTGACAATATCAATGAGTGCATGCTGTGTGAAGCATTTTTCCCGAAACCATGCTGATGATGGTACAATGTATGGTGTTTATCCAGAAAAGATTTTGCGCGGTTATACATAAGTTTCCCAAAGATACGATTAAATATTGACAAGAGGGAGATTGGCCTGTAGTTGCTCGGGTCCAATTCATCAATGTCTACACGTTGTGACTGAAAAGAATGATGGAAAGTTTCCACTGGTCAGTAAGTTCGAAATGTAAGTACAGAAAGCCTAAAAGATAGGAAAATGTCGACATTTTGCAGTTTTTCAGTCAAGTCTTCTCTGGTGACCAAATTTTCACAGGATGAAAACTTGGTCACGGAATGACTCAAAGGAACCAATGAAAATGTAAGGCCCCATTAGGGAGGGCGGGTATCCCGTATCCCCAATTTGACTTTTTGGCCTAAATATCTTGTATCCCGTCAATATTCCCGTGGTTTGTATCTCGAGTATCCATATCCCGATGATTTTTTATTCAGATATTTAGATTCCGGACAACTCTTATTGAGGTCAGCTTATACGTATATTACATCTGTCTTGTTGATCATTCAAATTCAAACATTTATGTGGCAATCGGAGGCTGGTTTAAGAACGAATACGAACGAGAAAAAAATCAAACTAAAAAGGCTATGCTGGAACAGTTGGAAGGAAATCGTTCATACGTTGTTAGCGATATTAAACATGAAAGGCTTATTTGGCACTGATCGAGATTACGTCGTTGTTCTAAGTCAATAGTGAATAATAGCTAAGCTGTTAGCCGAAGGTTATTTGAGGAAAAGAGACATAGTTGTCCAGAAGTCTGCCAGTCTCATTTTATAATAATAATAATAATAATAATAATAATAATAATAATTTATTAGTTGTATAGCCCTATTTACATGTACAGATCAATAGTGCTTTACACTGAATAAAAATTAAAAACCTTATATATCTAAATAAAATTTACAATAGTAACAGGTAGCTAAAAATATATAAGAATAAATTATTTTAATGTAATATATCTGAGTTAATGATTACTAAAAGCTTCATTAAACAGAAACGTTTTAATAGCTTTTTTAAATTTATCCAAACACTTAATCATTCTAATTTCATAAGGAAGTCTGTTCCATAAGTATGGTGCTGCTGCCTGAAAAGACCGAGCTCCAAATGTCTTCAGCATCTTACCCTTAGGGGGCTCTAAGTAAAGACCGTCATTAGATCGAAGACAATAAGAAGATTTTGATTTAATAGATATAAGGCTGTTAATATATGACGGAGCTAAATTATGAACCGCTTTAAAAGTAAGTAGAAGAATTTTAAATTTAATGCGAGCCTGGATTGGAAGCCAGTGTAACTCATTTAGAATAGGAGTAATATGCGAGTACCTTCCAACGTTCAATAGCAGTCTTGCGGCTGCATTCTGTACACGTTGTACTTTAGCTATCAGTTCCTTTGAGGCACCATACAAAAAGACTGTTACAATAATCTAATCTATTCGTTATAAACGCATGAACTAAAGTATTGAGACTGTCTTCGTGTAAATATTTCTTAATGCTTCTAATGTTATGAAGATAAAAGAATGCAGATTTGCAAATATTTGTAATATGCTTAGACATGCTTAGGTTAGCATCCAACCAACAGCCTAGATTTTTAACCTCGGAGCTATTATTAATTACCGAGTTGCCAACGGAGATACTGATTGGCTGTAGTTTAGATAATTGTTGTTTGGAGCCTATTAAAATCAGTTCAGTCTTGCTATCATTAATTAACAGTCTATCATGAATCATCCACTTCCTGATCTTTTCAATACAGTTCTCCATTGCTTGCAAGACTTGGTCTTGAGATGTAGTATTAGGTTTAAAACTCAGATATAACTGGGTGTCATCAGCACAACAATGAGCACAAGGAAGCTCGTGTTCAATGATCTTAAAGAGCTTAGATGCATATATAATAAATAGAATCGGTCCAAGACATGACCCTTGAGGAACTCCGCAGCCTAAATCGAATGGGTTAGATATCGATCCCTCGATGTTGGCCTTTTTGCATCCTGTTATGGAGATATGACTCAAACCAGCTCAGGGCAGAATCAGCAATACCTAATTCTTCGTGTAGACGTTTGATCAGTATATCATGATTAACAGTGTCGAAGGCGGCACTAAGATCCAACATGACAAGAAGAGTGACCTCTTGTGAATTCATCTTCATTAAGATATCGTTAACAACTCGAAGAAGCGCTGTTTCGGTATTATGTCCTTTTCTGTAAGATGATTGCATTTCTGGATAAACAGAATTGTCTATCATGTGTAAATGAAGTTGATTATACACCGCCTTTTCGGTGAGCTTCGATATGTATGGCAAATTACTAACAGGTCTGTAGTTACTAAGAAGTGGATCAAGACCAGCTTTTTTGAGCAACGGCTTAACAAGTCCAGACATCAGCAAACATACCATCCACGAGGGATAGATTTATCATTTTTGTGATCACGGGAAGCAGGACATCAATGCAGCTAAAAACCAGTGAGGTGGGCATCGGATCAAAAGAACAGCTTTTCTTTGCGCTACCTTCGATAAGTTTCCGTACTTCTAGTTCAGAAAGTGCTGTAAATTTACTAAATTTGGGGGTTGGTGACAATGTACAGTTTAAAAGCGGGTCAGTGGAAAGATCTTGAGCCATAACGTCGAGTCTTGTACCAATATCAGTGTTTTTTTGAACAAAGTACGAG